CCCTCAACCATCTATACTCCTATAACTAATTACATTAGAGAAAATATATTCAGTTCCCGGAACACAGTGCTAAGACTCACTTGTTGCTGGGTTCCATAGAAAGCCAATCTTGTTTTGTCTCTTTCTTACCAACTTTTTTTTTTCTGTCATAGACATCAAATATTGTATCATTTTACCCATAACTGTGTCAACATGTACCACTAACATAAGGACATTTTGTAAATTCTGCTTAATTCTGCTAAAAAGCTTCAATCAATAATCAATATTGCTATAATTATCTAAATGTTATTCTGTTTCACTCTAAAAGAAGTAGAATTTCTGGAAGCAATCACTTAGTCTCACCATATAGTAAATTCTCAATGAATAAAACTCTCTGGATTCTTTTAAAGAAAAGTGACTGTAATGCAGCCAGCCTATGACCTGAGTACTCATTAGGATAGGGCTCCTTTCCCAACACAGCCTGGATCAGTTCTCAGGATCTCATGTTTTTAGGAGACGCAGACCTACTGTCTCTCATCATCTTCTCCTTCCCTTTCCCTTTACTTCCTTTGAAACCTTCTTCCCCTTCTCCACCAAAATCCCTATTCCCTGCCCACCCTTCTCCACCCTTGGCCACATACACAAATTATGCCAAGAACACAGCTTGCCTCAGAATATATCAGACGAATGCTTGGTTTATCTTTAGGGTAGTCTGACAGTAAGACAATGATGTGACGTCATTTGTTCCTCACCCACATGGCTCTCAAGATCCTTATAAATATTCACCTGAAACGTCTAGTGTTTAGGAGAAAAGATATTCTATTCTACAAAATTTTAGAGAATGGTCTTCGTTTATACCAGAGACCCTTTTCTCAATTTTTCAATTTAGTAAGCGTTTTATTAAATAGTAATACCACAACCTTATATTTGTTTAGTTTCTTATGAGTTTTACAAACATTATTTCCTTTGAGTCTCAGCATTATCCCCAAATTTGAGGTCAAATAGGAAACAATCTCATTACACTTAATTTTGAACAGTACTTTTTGCTTCCATTTCTCTTTGCAAAGTGTATACATATACACATGCACTATTCATCACTCTGTACCCATGTCAATATTGTTTCCTATTCCTGAAAAACCTTTTCTCTGCTAGACCATCCTTTTCTCAATGTTTTAAAAGAAAGATTTAATTGCTACTTTTTTCAAAAGTAATTGCTACTTTTTTTTCAGAAAAATCATATGTTTAAAAATAAGAACCTTTGGGATCAAAAAAAGCTTCATAGCACTTTGAAAAGCAAAACACCAGCCCAGTATTTTGGTAACTTGGCCACCACTGCCCCCTCTGTGAGAATGGGAAATCTGGGTTACTCGTAGCATGAGAGAAGAAAGAACATAACAAGAGAATAAACAAAAAACCTCCTTAATAAACTGATACAACTGTAGATGAAAATTTCTATACAGTTGGATACATAAAATAAACTATAATGCTTCAAATCTCCTAAAATATATACCACACAATAAACATTCCCTCTAGGTTTATTGCCCTTGGCAATAAACCTAGAGGGAAGAGTTACATGAATCCCAATATTTTTCTCATGGGTGTGCTGACATTTCTCTTTCTCTGCAGTTTTCTTTGCAAAGAGGCTTTTTCCCTTCATCTCCCTTTCCAAACATAAGATAACATTGCTGAGAGGAGGGTTGCTAGGTGTCAGCTCAGAAATGATTTTGCTTCAGTGGTGTGCAGGCAGTCCTGATAAAACTAAGATCTTTGAAGAGGAATCACAGGAAATAAATGAGGTTTTTAACTACAGTTTCCATCATCCTCAGGAAAAAAAAAATACAGGCCTCTTTTCCATATACAGTATCTCCACATTTCCTTGGTTTAATTTGAGGTGGACTTTGGAAGGTGCTATGTCACAAGCATAACTTTAACAATGAATGATTCCTTTGGGTCATTGCTATCCTACTCTGTAATAGAAAAATCCAACCAAATAAGCAAATCAAAACCTTCTCCCAGAGAACTAAGATACAGGTTAGTGTCACCCATCTTTCTTCGTTCCTTTCACTTTTCACAAGCAGGAAAGATCATGGAGTTTCTAATCTTATTAAGAAAACAAAAAAATGTATTTCAAAATAGGATGAGAATTAAGAAGGCCACTTTCCAAATAGTATAAGAATTTCATAGTTAATCCCTTGTTGTTTCTGCTAAAGAGACAAGTGGATAGCTGAATCAAGAGATTTCAGCGCAAGATCAAAGAGAAAATAGGATAAGCTGGAAGCAGAAAGTTTCTATACAAAAAACAGATGTTACTGATAAAGCAAAGAGACTTGACAATTAAATGTGTAGGAAAGATGCCTGAATAGTGCTGCACCTGAACTTGTGTTTTGATAAGACAAGCCTGTTTCTCTCAGAAAGTCTCCTATTAAATAACATGGCCCAAATGAGATGTTAAGGGATTGTTTTGAGGAACAAATAAAATCCAGAGTCAAAGCACAAAGAATTACAGGAATTAAAGGAATCTGAGATAGAGCAACTCCTAAAAACAGATTCTGTAAAGTCTTCCTCCAACTACTCTATACAGCTATTTCAATGTCCAAAGTTGGAACAATTTGAATCACAATGTAAACAGCTATAATACTAGATTATGAGCCACAGAATAAAATAAATATCAATGAGCCCATATTGAATAAAGTAAATAATTGCATAAATAAATGAATAAACAAGGGAATAGTTCTTTCTAAAAGAATTTCAGTTAACAAACATAGAAGAAATGAGGAATATACAAAAATCTCCATTAGACAAATACCACATTAATAACTGTTATAGGCAAGATCCACCAATGTATGCTACAGTTAGTTAATGGCTGATAGTTTAAGGAGAAACAAGATATTTACATAGTTTCACAATATCTCCCACAAGACATGAAAAAAGAAAAATAGCAACTTTACAATGGAGAACCCCAGCAAACACATACTTAACCAAGTGATTGAAGTTGACACCAACAATTATGTATTCTTTAATAGGATATACTGAGAAGGGCACAGTATCACTTATTATAGCATTCTTACCAAAATCACAAAATCTCAATCAAAGCAGGAGAAAACACCAGAAAATTCAAATTGAGAGACATTCTACAAAATACCTCACCAGTTCTCTTAAAAAAATGTCAAGCTCATAAAAGACAAGGAATAACTGAGGAAATGTCATAGACTGGACAAGGCTAAGAAAATGCAATGTGAAGTTATGGATTGAGTCTGGAACAGGAAGAAGACATCAGTGGAAAAACTGGCAATATTCTCATAGGGTCTACAGTTTAGTTAATGGTATTGAACCAATGTCAATTTCCTAGTTTTAATAATTATACTATGCTTATGTAAAATGTTAACATTGGGGAAATCTTGGTGAAGGGTATGCTGGAACTCTCTGCACTATTCTTGAAACTTCTCTTCATGTCAAAAATTATTTTGAAATAAAAACTTAAAAACAATAAAGCATAGGTGCAAATTAAGCAGAATCTGTGGCAAAGTAGGGGTACTTTATTCATTATATCTCATTTCCCCTTTTTAAATATACTGACTGGTCCTTTTAAAACCAAGTAATAATCTGTTTTTAGATGAGTCACTAATTTTGTAAAATTCTGTATATGGAACTAAGATTTGTATCTACCAGTTTCATCTAAAACATGTATGATTTTATGGTGGACTTCAATACACTTTAAAAATTAATGTTTAAGAGAATGTATGTTGTAGTCCTCTCTCATTCATTGGGTAACACATCATGGTACTTTTTCCTTATGCCTTCTCAAGATGGACCCCTGAATACTCATTTCTCTTCCTATTTTCTCTTAGAAATCTAAACTGTTATTATAGGAGGATATACTAACTCCATCTGTCTCATGAAGGATACAGAATCTGAGAGTCTTTGTTAATCTTTCTCAAAATGTTAATTTCAACTCCTACCATTTCCTCCTATCACCTTTCCTTCTCTTTTCCTGAAGCCAAAACTCTGACCAAATTTTGTTGTTTAATGTCTGAATAATTACAACTTCCTGCCTATCAGTCCAAAATGCTGCCATCAAATGTGTCTATCTTTTTAAAAAATATTGTCTTGACCACCTTATTTTTTTCTCATATCTTAGTTTTCCCCATATCATATTCTGTTATTGTTTTCTGGGGCCTTTATAAGCCTATCCCTACATTTATCAAAAAGCCTCAATATCCTCCTAACATTTTCTTTTGTCTTGTTAAACTCATTCATTCATGTATTTATTTCATTAACTTTCACTGAATTTCAGCAATGCCTAAAGCATTGGGGTGGGTATTGTAGGATATAAAATATACATATTTATTTTTTCTCATCCAACCTTTTCATTTACAAATCTGCCAAGTAGTTACTTTTGCCTGAAATGTTATAAGCCCCAAATTCATACCTTTATCAAATCCACTTCATTGAAAAAAAACCTGCTTGAAGTAGCTTGAGGTGAATATTTATCTGTCTATAAAAAACTGGCCAGTTATTTTTACAAAAAGAGAAAGAAAAAGAAACGGAAAAAGGGTAAAATAAAATGTAGACCATTATAAAGATAAGAACAGACATAAGCATATCATTGCTTAGGATCTGAGCTACCAAAAGGCAAGTAACTGGTTTTCATATCTTCTGAATAATCTAGAACACAATGGTCCTTAAGACTATCAAAGTGGAACCCAAGATTTGAAAAATTGTCAGAGAGCTACCTTAGTATTACAGTTAAATGCTATTCTGAAAAGTGTAATTTAGGAAGAAGTACTAAATTTATCCCTCCAATTTCCCAGGATCCCATGAGAAAATATAAAGACTAGCTTAGATTAGTATAGTGCCCTGTGTACCAGCTCAGCTGGGCAGCACAGAACAAATGGTGTGGGCACTTTGGGTATTTGTGATGAGGCTCACTTGGGCTTAGTGTTTACTTTATCCCATTCCTGATGGAGCTCCTTGTCATTTATATTCCAGAACACTGAATAAAGAGACATTACAAATCTCACCTGTTGATTTTCCTTGAAAGTTTGGATTAATAATTCTTTCAGTTTCCTTTTTCTTTCTTTTGCCATTTTTTCTTCATCCAGAAGAATGTGAGTACTTTGAAACATGCCTTTTTCTAGATTCTTTTGAGAAATTTCTTCTTGCCTTTTCTTCTCTCTATTAATAATAATTATAAAATATATTTATATACAATAGATTTAAAAATGAGTAATTACTACCTACTGTAGTGGAATGAATGCTGAATTTTCCATCAGAAAACACAAATTTTTAGATCTGGCTCTAAAACTAAGTAGTAGGGTGACTTTTGGGGTGGGGGGAAAGCTTAGTTTATTTCCTTATAAAATACAGATTAAATGAAATAAAATTGTTATAAAGTACTTTGAAAAGTAGAAAGTCCTATAGATACTTTAGTATTTTAATTGTGTTTAATAATGAACCATACTTTGATCAAAATTTGAGAGTTAACAACTACTAGGTATTCTTTAATTTAGAAAATAATAAATTCTCTCTTTTTTCTTTTTTTTTTGAGACAGAGTCTCACTTTGTTGCCCAGGCTAGAATGAGTGCCATGGTGTCAGCCTAGCTCACAGCAACATCAAACTCCTGGGCTCAAGCAATCCTGCTGCCTCAGCCTCCCAAGTAGCTGGGATTATAGGCATGCACCACCATGCCCGGCTAATTTTTTCTATATATATTAGTTGGCCAATTAATTTCTTTCTATTTATAGTAGAGACGGGGTCTCGCTCTTGCTCAGGCTGGTTTCAAACTCCTGACCTCGAGCAATCTGCCCGCTTCGGCCTCCCAGAGTGCTAGGATTACAGGCGTGAGCCACTACGCCTGGCCTCTCTTTTCTTATAATGGGGAAGAAAAAGAGGTCTTCAAGTAAGAAAGGAAGGAGAGTTATACCACAAAGTTTTTTAGGGAGAAGATTTCTAGGAAGAAAAATAATAGAAGAATCAAGTGTTATTGACTAAGGAGAGAATGGAATCTAGAATAATTCTAAAATAGCTGAAAAGAGAAAAAATAAAACTTAATGACAATAAGGAAAAGGCATTTACATAAGTAATCAGAATCTCTTAATAACTCTGTTGCTTATGTTTCTGGTAATCCCCTTTCTATTTCTAATCCCACCCACCTATCTATTTTTTCTCATCCAGCCCATCCCTCCTTCACTCACCAATTCAAGCAAGCTCATAGCTATGGCCTTCTTATTGGAGTATATTTATTACACAGGTATGTGTATGTCTATAAAGTATGTACTATTAATGATGTGGCAAACATAGATCCTAGTCAGAAATCAGAATTCACAAGCTCTGGCCGCAAAACAGCTGTGAAAACTCAGACAAGTTACCTAGTCTTTCTGGAACTTCACTTTATAGTTGTGGAGACTCAGACTGAGAGGCATGCCAGAATAATGTATAGATATTCTCTCATTCATTCTCATATATCATACAGAGGCATACAATGTTATGTTTTATTATTAGTGATATTAACCATCATTTTGTTAAGGTGGCTTCAGTATAAAGTTATTATCTTTTCCTTTGTAATTAACAAGTACCTTGAAACAAATACTTTAGAACTATGCAATAAAGCAGATTTATGATAGCTTACAAATAAGTTAACAATAAAATTTTACTGACTATTTCCAAACTACTAATGCTATAACAATGTTATATTAGATGGTTATAGGCAGGTCATGGTGAGAGTTAAAGAAATATAGTTCTGATACCATGAATCTTATTTTTAAAAATAACATTAGAATATATATATATATATATATATATATCTGTGATGAAAGTAGTATCTGCTTATTGTGAAAAACTAGAGAAGAATAAAAGCTATCCATATTTCCACCCAGAAAAAAAGTCAGCCCTATTTCATTGTACAATCATTATTTAATAATTTCTCTATCATTTATTAATGTCTGCTATTATAAATAATGTTATTTTAATTATCCAAGTGCGGTGGCTCATGCCTATAATCCTAGCACTCTGAGAGGCCGAGGCAGGTGGATCGCTCAAGGTCAGGAGTTCGAAACCAGCCTGAGCAAGAGCGAGACCCCTGTCTCTACTAAAAATAGAAAAAAATTAATTGGCTAACTAAATATATATAGAAAAAGAAATTAGCCAGGCATGGTGGCACATGCCTGTAGTCCTAGCTACTCGGGAGGCTGAGGCAGGAGGATAGCTTGAACCCAGGAGTTTGAGGTTGCTGTGAGCTAGGCTGACCCACGGCACTCTAGCCCGGGCAACAGAGTAAGACTCTGTCTCAAAAAAAAAAAAAATCTTTGTGTACAAATTTTTAAAGGTCTGCTTTCTGATCATTTTCTGAGAGCAGTTTTCCTAGGACTGGAATTCCCAGGTCAAGGGTAATCCATTTTATGACTTGTTCATTGCTAAATTGCTTTCTGGAAAGTTTAAATCAGTATATCCTCTAACAAGTACAACATATTATCTGTTCTCACTGTAACAACAGATAAGATTTTAACTTTTAAAAGAAATGACTGGTCAGTGAACATTCGTTGAGTGCCCACTGTGAGCAGAGCATTCTGCCACCATCAAATATTACTTGTTTTCACAATTTATTTTAGGTCAGCCTAGTTTTTCCAGGGTTTGGGATCAATCTAAAAAGCAAGGTTGACGTTAGAAGGAACTCACTAAAACACTGGCAACTGCTTTCTGAAGGAACAGCAATCTGGAGGAGGCCTGAGTCTGGTACTTGAAGGAATGAAGCACATCCACTGCTGAGCTGTCTTAAATTGGATAGAATAAGAGCAATCAAGCACATGGGGAAAAGCTGATGAGGGTGGGAAGGATTATCTAATAGGTCTTTCTGGCCTCTCAGTTTGAGTGTTCAGACACTTTAAACACATTGTTCCAAGACTTTCGCAGTTCATGCATCAGTGCTGTTTCTCAGAATAAATACTTCAGTTATTTTACTTATAAAGCTGATTTTCTGCATGAGGATGGATTACAGTACTACATCCTATAAGGACTACTTTTATTTTCCTCCTATGTCCAATATTCTTTTTCTTTATCAGTGGCAGTAAGGCAATGGTGACTTTCCATATGATTATCAGAAAATAAGACATGGAATTCACAATAAGACAAAGCACAATTACCGAACACACATAGGAAACATGTTCAACCTTAAAATTATGTAGCCATATAAATATAATTAATGATACCTATTAAAAGTGTAAAAATATTGAAAATGATGAGAAAAGTGTGGTAAAGAGGCCCATTGCTGGCAATAGATAAATGAGTACAACTCACTTTGAGAGCAATTTGGCAATGTTTTAAGAGTCATAAAAAGGCCTTTATCTATTTAATTCAGTAAATACACTCTTAAGAATTTATTCTAAGAATATAATTCAGAAGAATGAGAAAGCTCTATGCTTAAGGATGCTCATTGCAATAATATAATGGTGAAAAATCTGAAATGTTTACCAGTATGGGGAGGGATTCATTACATAAATTATGATATAGGAACACAATGGAATAATATACAGACCTCAGGACTCCAGGCAATGTGTTATTGATAATTACAAGCAGGATAACAAATTAAATGTACTTTATGGTTGTAATTAAGTATGTAAAGGGACCAAGACCAGGAAGAAACACGGAAAAATGAAATTAATTTGTTAAGATGGTGGAATAGTGGGTGATTTTGCTTTTGTTTTTTGTTATTGCAATGTTTGAGCATTTTAAAAACTTTAGAGCCCTTCCAAGATGACTGCTTAAACCAAAAAACTCCACACTGCTTATCACACTGGCTTACATTTTCCATGCTTCTTCCACAGTGTGCCTCCTCTCAATTATCTCCCTCCGCAGCTTTACCATCTCCCTTTGAATCTCCTCTTCTTCTTTCTTGGCCTCCAGAGCCTTCCTTTTCTTCTCTTCTTGCACCAGACACTGAGCCTCTAAGAAGGCTGATTTTTTCAGGGCCTTCTTGATTCTCTGGCACTCCAGTTCCTTTTCACGTCTTAAACGATTTTCTTTTACCTTAAAGAGAATATAACAGGGTTGAAATACAGCCTTTTGTAAAAAAAAAAAAAAAAGAAAAAGAAATGCAGCCTTTCAAGCAGCAAGGGACATGCAAAACCTTAGAATACACTCTGAAGTTTTGAACACAAGTTTGAAATATTGTGGCTCAGGCCCCCACTGTTTATAGGCAGAATAGGGGGAATTCCTTTGTTTAGTGGGTAAGTGCCAATACAAAATTTTAGATGAAGTCAGATGAAGATGATTCAAATCATCAAGGAGTGATTTGCATCACAGAGAAACTGATAATCTAATGGGCCAAATCCTGAGTTCTGGATTCTTATTTAGTAATTATTTCCCACCCATGAGACTGTCCAAGGTATACATTACTGCTTTTACTTAGGCCCTGTCTGCATTCTAATTATAAGTCAAGAAAGAATAGGGATACTTTTTGGAGGCTCCATTGTGAAGGATAGAACAGTGATTTATTTCCTTAAGGAGGAGCACAACTCTTTATTCATTTCTATTATTATTTAAATATACCAGTGATTCTGGATCATATTTGGAAACTAAAAATGTGAATAAGCACATTCACTTTTTTCAAACCTATTAATTCTTTAGAGGACTTCCTAGCTAGGTACAAATTTCCTTCCTGCTTCACTTAACTTTCCCCTTATCTTACTCTCTAGTTGTGATAAGACTTCTAGACAATGGATACATATCTTATAGAATCTTCTTCCCTCTCTTTTGTCATAAATCTAAACCAGAATCATACTTCTACCCGTTGCTCCAACATCCCCAGTGCTGAGGCATACCTGAATGATTTAATGATTTAAAGCAGTGATTTTCAAATTAGCAATCAGAAATTCACTATTATAAAAAAGCACACACATGTACAGACATTAATGCCAGTTTAGTCTTAGTTCTGGACATATGGTAAAGACTCGGTCATTCTGATTCTCTGAGGCTCCTTTACAAAGTGTTGGGATACCAGTCTTTTTCCTATAACCTACTATTCCCTTTGGAGAAAAAAAAAAGTTCCCACATGCCTTTCTAATTCAAAACAGATGAACTAGATTTAATTCAGATCTTTCCACCTTTTAAAATTATAATCACAAAATGAGTGAATTTCAGTTGTCTAGAAAAGAATTATCTTTACAAAATTGACCAGAATATTCATAATATTAATATACTGATGTCTCAATACAAAACCAAATTCAAGCAATCTACATATTTATAATTGGAAGTACCACATTCGGAGTCCAGAGAGCTCACCATTACGCTAGGGAGCCGGAAGTACCACATTCTAACAAAGTTTGCCTCTATAGTCTTAGGCAAAAATCAATTAATCTTTTTTTGGTTATTTCTTAAATTGTTTCCTCCCCTCAGTTTATGAGAATTATTTTTCTTCTGAAGTTCTTATATTTTATTTTTATTCTTTCTAACCAAACCACAGATGGCACCCTTTTTCATAATAAAGCCTATGTCTTTATTTAAGCTTATTAAATGTGTTACACAAAGACTGCTTCCTGTTATCCATTTTAATTTTGTTTTTCCCTCCCACCTGCTTATGTCTCATCTCCATGGTAAGACGAGGATCCTTCTGCTGCTTCTTGTCTTGGTTTTCCTTCCTTCCAAGATCTTCCAACATCCCAGAATCCACCACATCTTTATGAAGCAGATGGTCTATAAATTTTTGAACTGTGGTACTTTCCTCTTCTTCCTCCAAATAGCCATATAAATCTGGGGGAAATAGAACAACAACAAAAAAAGGGAAATTTTTAAAAAATGTAATTTTAGTGTAATATTCATATTTATATAAAGAATCCTAGTACAGTAAAAATACAAAGCTGTGAGTGTTCAAAAAATAGTAACTGATAATGCCAATTGGATGAGTGTAGCTCTGAGCAATTACCTTCAACTAAGAGGGAAAAAGCTCCACTTCTCAGGAATTGCCCTCACCGAAGTCACTAAAAACTCCTTCAATGCCAAATCTAAGATATTACTTCAGTGTAAACAACTTGAGAACTCTACTGCTTTTTTTAAAAAAAAGCTTTACTGTGGTATCATTGGCATACAATAACCTGCACATACTATTTAAAATCTACAATAAATTTTGACATATGGATATGCCACTAAAACCATCACGCTAGTCAAGATAATGAACATACCGATCAACTCCCAAAATCTCCTCATGCTGATCTGTAGTCTCTTCCTCTCACTCTACACCATTCTCTCTGCCCTGCTTCAGGTAAGCACAGACATGTTTTCTGTCACTACAGATTAATTTGCATTTTCTAGAATTTCACATCAATTAAATCATATACTATGTACCCTTTTTTTGGTTTGGCTTCCTTTACTCAGTATAATTATTCTGAGATTCATTCATGCTGTATGTATCAATAGTTTATTGCTTTTCATTGCTGAGTAGTACCTCATGGTATGGATATACTACATTTGTCTATTCACTCATCTGTTGATGAGCATTTGAATTGCTTCCAGATTTTGGCTATTACAAATAAAGCTGTTAGAAACATTGTGTACAGTCGGTGGTGCCTGTGGGGGATTCATTCCAGGACCTCCCAGGAATACCCAAATCTGAGGATGTTCCAGTCCCTGCTATAAAATAGCATAGTATGTGCATATAACCTACCCATATCCTCTTTTATGCTTTAAATCATCTCTAGCTTACTTATAATATATCTAATAATGTAAATAGCTGTTATGTTGTATTGTTTATGGCAGGGGTCCTCAAACTTTTTAAACAGGGGCCAGTTCACTGTCCCTCAGATTGTTGGAGAGTGTGCACTGTGGGCCCGGGGAGAGTCGGCTGCTAAGCAGGACAGGCAGCTGCAGCAAAAATACCCAGCTGGCTGGATAAATGTCCTAGGTGGGCGGCATGTGGCCCGTGGGCCGTAGTTTGAGGATGTCTGGTTTATGGAATAATGGCAAGGAAAAAAGTCTGTACAGATACAGTACAGATGCAATTTTTCCCCCAATGTTTTCAATGTGCAGTTGTTTGAATCCACAAATACAGAACCTATGGAACACAGGATTTCCTTTCTGTTGGGAAAATGCCTAGGAGTGGAATGATTGGATCATATGATAACTATATGCTTCACTTTTTAAGAAACTGTCAAACTGTTGTCCAAAGTGGTTATGTAATTTTACATTCCCACCAGCACTTTGAAAATGTTCTAGTTCCTCTATATCCTTACTAATACTTGGCATGGTCAGTCTTTCAAATTTAAGCCATTTTAATAAATATGCAGTGGTAACTCATTGTAGTTTTAATTCACATTTCCCTAATGACTAATGATACTAAATATCTTCCTTGTTGATGTTTTTTAGTTCTTCTATAGATTTTTGAAAGTGGAGTGCTGAAGTCTCCAACTAAATTTATGTGTCAAATAACAACATTTCAGTCAACAAGGGGCAGCATATATGAAGGTGGCCACATGAGATTATAATGAAGCTGAAAAATTCCTATTGTCTAGTGATGCTGCCATGGTAACAGTGGAGTGCAATGTATTATTATTCATGAGTTTGTGGTGATGCTGGTGTAAATAAACCTACTAAGCAGCCAATCATATAAAAGTACAGCAATGCAATTATGTACAGTACATAATACTTGATAATAAACGACTGTTACTGGTTTATGTGTTTACTCTACTATACTTTTTATCGTTATTTTAGATTATTTTAGAGTGTACTCCTACTTACATATAAAAAAAAGGCAACTGTAAAACAGCAGGTCTTTCAGGAGCTATTCCAGAAGATGGCATTATCATCAGCAGAGAAGACAGCTCCATGTGTGTTTTTCCCCTTGAAGACCTTCCAGTGGGACAAGACGTGGAGGTGGAAGACAGTGATACTGACGATCCTGACCCCGTGTAGGCCTAGACTAATGTGTGTCTTTATGTCTTAGTTTTTAACAAAATAGATTAAAAAGTAAAAGAAAACTAAAAATAGAAAAAAGAATAAGAATATAAAGAAAGAAAATATTTTTTGTACAGTTGTTGACGTGTTTGTGTTTTAAGCTAAGTGTTACTACAAAAGAGTCAAAAAGTTAAAAAAAATTAAAAAGTTTTATAAAGTAAGAAAGTTATGGTCAGCTAAGATTAATTTATTATTGAAGAAAGAAAGATGTTTTTATAAATTTAGTATAGCCTAAGTACACAGTGTTTATAATGTCTACAGTAATATATAGTAAGTAATATCATAGGCCTTCACATTCACTCACCATTCACTCACTGACTCACCCAGAGCAACTTCCTGTCCTGAAAATTCCATTCATGGTAAGTGCCCTATACAGGTGTACCATCTTTTATACACTGTATTTTTACTCTACCTTTTCTATGTTTAGATATATTTAGATACCCAAATACTTCCCATTGTGTTACAACTGCCTACAGTATTCACAGTATTCAGTACAATAATGTGCTGTACAAGTTTGTAGCCCAGGAGCAATAGTCTATATGATATAGCCTGGGTGTACAGTAGGCTCTACTACTTAGCGTTTTTTGGTTTTTTTTTTGAGACAGAGTCTCACTCTGTTGTCCAGGCTAGAGTGCCATGGCATCAGCCTAGCTCACAGCAACCTCAAACTCCTGGGCTCAAGCAATCCTCCTGCCTCAGCCTCCTGAGTAGCTGGGACTACAGGCATACAGGCTGGGACTACACCATGCCTGCCTAAATTTTTTCTCTATATATTTTTAGTTTGTCAATTAATTTCTTTCTATTTTGCTTAGGCTGGTTTCGAACTCCTGACCTTTAGCGATCCTCCCACCTCGGCCTCCTAGATACCACCTAGGTTTTTGTAAGTACAATCACAAAATTGCCTAGCAATACATTTCTCAGAACTTATCTCCCTTTTTAAGTGACATATGACTGTATTATTGTTGAATTATTTATTCCTTTCTTCAATTTTGTCAGTTTTTGCTTTATGTATTTGGCAACTCTTCTGTCAAGTATATATATGTTTATAATTATGTTTCTTGATAAATTGACCCTTTTAATTTATATTTAGAAGGTATATTTTTTGTCTCTAGTAACAATATTTTTATCTTAAAAAGTCTATTTTTTTTCTAGTATAAATATAGCCATTCCAGCTCTCTTTTGGTTTGCATGGTATATCTCTTTTCATTCTTTTACTTTCAGTCTATTTATGTCTTAAATCTAAAGTATGTCTCTTGCAGATAGCATATAGGTAGGTCATGTATTTTTAATCCATTCTGCCAATCTCTGCCTTTGGACTGGAGTGTTTAATTAAATCCATTTATACTTAATGTAATTCTTGATACAGTAAGGTTCATGTTTATCATTTTGGTACTTGTTTTTTAGATGTCTTATATAAATGCCCTTTATCAAGTTGAGGAATTTCTCTTCTATTATCAGTTTGCTGAAAGTTTTTATCAGAAATGAATGCTGGATTTTGTCAAGTGCTTTTTCTGTGTCTATTGAGATAATCATATGTAAATTAATATTTTGGTAAAAATCCTTTTTAATGATTACATAATATTTTGTTCCATATTTTGATTTAAAAAACCCCAACTGTACCAGCATAACATGATTGAGTCCTGGTATGATACTAGATGATAACAGCCAATCTAAGTAACGGGATATAACTACATCTATTAGCACCATATCAAAAGAAGTAATAGTTTCACTATGTTCCATATATTTTCTTTAGAACAAATATGAAATATTGACATCTCCCACTGTAATAATGACATTAATAAACTAGGAAATATCCAAAAGACAGCACTAGGATGATAAGATCTAGAAACCATGTTATAAAGAATTGTTGAAAATACTGGTGCTATTTAATCTGGAAACATCAAAGCATACAAGTAATCAGATATGATTACAATTCCCACAAAAAATGAAAAAGACTGTTCTTGAGAGAGAACATGTTATTTTCTATTGCACTAAAGGGTAAAAAGTTACTAAGGACAAAATCTCAGTTCCCCTAAACAAGAAATTCTACAAGGATTAGGGCCTCACAACAGCTGAATGGGTTCCCCCCAATTGTACGCTCCCCATCCTGGGAGGTGTTCAGGCAGAGATGACATCACCACGTGTCAGGTTAGAGACATCGCAGAAGGATTTCTATCTGAGTAGGAAAGGAAGGTGGATCAGACTAGGTGATCTGAAGGATTCTTCTAACTTTAAGAGATCATGATTTTGTGATACCCCTGCTGGGATTTTGTAGAGCCCTAAATAAGGGGGATGATGCCAGGTGTGTTCACTAAGAGTGTTTGAGTCATGCAGGAAGAACTGCCCCCAATATCGCCATGCCTATCCTATGCTTAGAAGTAAAAACCTCAGACTCCTGAGGGCATTTGAAGAACCCTCCTCACAAGATAGCCATCTAACTCGCCTATCACTAGCTCTGCACACAATAGTGTTTTTTTCTCTGGAAAACCAAACCTAGAAAAGTAATAACCTCCCTTATAAGTGATAATTAATAAAGATAACTAGGAAGCATCTTGTAAATATAAAAATGATATATGAATACTTAAATGTAGTCTCTATCAAAGTAAATAGTCCAGTGATATATGGGGAAGGGGCACTCTTACACAGCATTAATTGCTATTAATGTGTTACAGATATAGCCAGCCTTCCCCACCCATGGGTTCTGCATCCCTAGATTCAACCAACCATGGGTTGAAAATATTCTAAAGAAAAAAAAAAATAAAAAGTAACAATAAAATAATAAAAAATTACAAATAAAAAATACAGTATAGCAATTATTTATATAGCCTTTACAATGTATTAGGTATGATAAGTAATCTACAGATGAAGTATATGGGAGGATGTGTATAGAGCACCCAAGGATTTTGGTATATGAGGGGGAACCATAGAACCAATCATCCCTCATAGATACCAAGGGACAACTGTAATAGAATATTTTAGTTTAAAAAAAACCCTGAATTTACTGAAGATATAAGTAATCTGCATTCAATCATAACAAATTAAAACCAATAATAAAACTAAGCAAAACACAGAAAAATCAAATATATATCATTTATCATCAAAACAATTATAAATACTTAGAGACATTCATTAGATATTAAAGCTTAGAACAATCAGATAAGTTCTTACCATCAAACTTGTCATATTTCAAATGGCCATGAGCTTCTGGCATAAGAGTGATACTTGACACAGTGTTTTCAGCATCACCTTCTCCATCACTTGCTAATTCTTGCTTAAATTTGGTGTCTAACCAGTCATTGACCAACTCCTGAGCTATCAGTAAAACAAAAACATCTTTTAAATATTTCAATTACTTCATAGACTTTCTTCATTCACTGTTTTCATTAATTCAATAAATATTAATTGAGCACTTATCATGTGTCAAGTACTATTCCTAGATGCTGGAAATATAGCAGTGAACAAAACTGGAAAAATAAACTCTACCAATGTGAAGCTTACATTTTAATTGGGGAAGAGAGCCAATAAATATATAAGGGAAAAACAAAGCAGGGAAAGGAGAAAAAGAATGCAAGAAATAGAATATGGGTGTTGTAGTTTTAAGATATTGGCGCAAAGATGGGAAGGCAGTGAGGGAGTAAGCCATGTAGATATATAAGGGAATATTCTATGCAGAGAGAAAGAAAGTACAAAGGCCCTAAGCAGGAGTATCTAGAGTGCTGAAAAAACAGTAAGCAGGCCAGCATGGCTGAAGATGAGTGAGAGGGAGAATAGTAGATGAGGTAGAAGCAGGCATGGATCAGGCTTAGAGCAGTGGTTATAAACTGGGGGGAACCTTGCCCTCCAGTGGACATAGCACAATGTCTGAAGCCATTTTTCCTTGTCCCATTTGGAAGATGTGAAACTAGCATCTGCAGGAGTCCTCAAACTGTGGCCCGAGGGCCACATGCAGCCTGCTAAGGACATTTATCCTGTCCACCGGGTGTTTTTGCTGCCGCTGCCTGTCCTGCTTAGCAACCAATTCATCCTGGGCCCACAGTGCACATGAGTGGAATGTGCGCCACACTCTCCAATGGCCCTCCAACTGTCTGAGGGACAGTGAACTGGCCCCCTGTTTAAAAAGTTTCAGGACCCCTAGTGGCCAGGGATGCTGATAAGTATCCTATAATTCACAGGACAGCCCCTTCCACAACAAAATTTCTCTAGCCCCAAATGTCAATAGTCCTGTGGTCGAAATCTCCTTTAGACACTATTCTAGGTACTTGAGCTTTTCTACTCTGACCACGATGGGAATCCACAGGAGGGCTGTGAGCAAAGAGGTGATATATTTTAAAAGGATCACTGACCATGATGTTAAAATGAACTATAGGGAACAAGCACTTAAGCAGGGAACACTAATTGGGAAACAAACACAATAATCCAGGCAAGAGGTGATGGTGGCCTAGATTTGGAGTGGAGGTATTAAAAATGATTCTAGGAAAAAAATGTTTGGAGGTAGAATTAACATGACTTGCTGATGAACTGGATATGGGATGCCAGAGAGAGAAATCTACATCTTTTGGCTTAAGCAACTGCAAAGATGGAGATGCCATTTACTTAGATGTGGAAGACCAAGGGAGCAGCAAGTTTAGGGGGAAGGATTTTAGACATGTTAGGTTTGAGATGTTTATGAAACATCCACAGAGGGGTGTCAAATATGGTATTGGTTACAATATTCTGGATTTCAGGGGGGAAGTCCAACCTGAAGAAATAAGTGAAGGAGTTGTCAGCACACAGGTTGTATCTAAAGCCATAAAGTGGATGAGGTTTCCAAAGGTAGAGGGAAGATAGAAAAGAGGTTCAAGGACTGAGCCTTGAGGAACTCTAGCATATAGAAGCTGAAGAGATAAGGTAGAATCAAGAAAGATGACTAAGAAGGAGAGGTAGGAGGAAAATCAAATTGTGAAATCCTGAAAGCTAACTTCCATTTGGATTTCTTTTTTAACAATACTGAGAAAATTTTCTTAAATTATATAGGTATTATATAGGTATAGGGGAAAATGCCCACTTTAGCATTATCTTCATTGTTATCATTATGAAACAGCTCTTATGTGGGGGGAATGGGGATTTCAAAGAAGAAAAACATCTATTTTAGCATTACCTTCATCATTGTTATCATTATTGCATAGATCTTAGGAAATGGGGTATTTATATTAAATGATGTCAAGAGGCATTTAAAATAAATAAGAAAACAATAATCAGAGTAATAGAAACTAAATGTAAAAAATATACACTATTGGCTTTCAGAGCAAGGTAGAGGGAGAAAGATTTATTGATTAATCCTTATATACAATAATTCAGACCTTTATGTATATAATAATTTAAATGTAAATAATTTAGATCTACTAAGTGCCAATCATTGGTAAATGGGGATTTACTATAAAATGTCCCCTAAAAACAAAGGACACTTGCCTTGGAGAGTTAAACTATAGAAACACCTCACATCAGATCAGAGAAGTACATAAGCCATCTTAAAGCAGAGTTTTTCAAAGAATATTCCTCAGAACACTAGCTCTTGTAGAATATTAATATAGTTGATGAAAGGAGAAAGAATGATATAAATCTTTGAAAGCCATTTTCTATCCATACATTAGCACTTCCTAAATATGAATCACTAGTTTCTCAGGATATTAATAGGTATTTTCAGGATAAAAATAAGTTCATGGTCTAGGAAGCTTGGGAAATGGGGTAAGTAGACATTTCTTTTTAACTGCAGGACTTCTCAGAACCCTTAATAGGCAAAGTATATCATGTATCCCTATTGGTAGTGGGGGGGTAGGGTGGGCAAGATCAGCCCTGCCAATTTCGGAATCAATTTCATTCCTCTATCTCCAGTACTACCAACCACTTGAGATCAATAGCCATTACTGCTCACCCAGACTACTGCAATAGCCTTCCAGTTGTTGCCCCTTTCCCTCTTTTTCTTCCCTCTAATCCATTCTTCATATATTTAAAAAATTGTCCTATTAATATTATATATCTACTTAAAACTCTTTGATGCCATCCTATCATACTCAAAGTAAAATCTAAATTCTTTCCCCAGGACTACAAAGGCCTTATGTGACATGTCTTCTGCTCATTCCTGCAAGCTCATCTGTATTGGGAAGGTCTAGTCATGTGGGTCTTCCTCCAGTTCCTCAAGTACGCCGGGCTTGTCTGTATGTTAGTTCTTTTTTTTTTTTTTTTTTTTCCAGGTTTTTTTTTTTTTTTTTTGGCATATTATGGGGGTACAGATTTTAAGGTTTCAATAAATGCCCATTTCCCCCCTCCCCCCAAAAGTCTGAGTCTCCATCATGACCATCCCCCAGATGGTGCACATCTCACTCATTATATATGTATATACCTGCCCCCCTCCCCCCTCCCACCTGCCCAATGCCCTATTACTGTAGTACCTATGTGTCCACTTAGGTGCTACTCAGTTAATACCAGTTTGCTGGAGAATATATCTGGTGCTTGTTTTTCCATTCTTGGGATACTTCACTTAGTAGTATGGGTTCCAGCTCTAACCAGGAAAATATAAGATGTGCTATATCACCATTGTTTCTTAGAGCTGAATAGTACTCCATGGTATACATATACCACATTTTATTAATCCATTCTTGGATTGATAGGCACTTGGGCTGTTTCCACAGCCTTGCAATTATGAATTGTGCTGCTATAAACATTCGTGTATGTTAGTTCTTGACACCACCTTTCACTCTGCCTAAAATGCTCTCCGCCACCACTGGTCAGCTGCCTCTCTGTTATTCAGGTTCAAAATTGAATGACATATCACTACCTGATAATTTGTTTTTCATTTTCTTTATTCCCACTCTAGAATGTATACTTCATGAAAGCAAGGGCTTTGCTTCTCTTGTTCATAACCAGTACTTCCAATGCCTAAAACAGTACCTGACACAGTAAGAATTAAGAATATGTGTTGAATAAATGAAAAAATAAATAGAATAATTGGAGACATAAATAATTCAAAAGGAAGCTGGCTTGCAGGACATCACTCTCTGACTTTCCTCCTACCTCAGTGGCCTCCCCTTCTCAGTCTCCTTTGCTGGTTCCTCCTGATCCCTTCAATCCCTAAATGGCAGAGTTCCCCAGGGTATCAGTAACTAAAACACTGAATTCCAGAAGAGTAAATGCTTTTGAAAGATAGCAAGGTTAGACTGATTTTAGGATCTCTTTATCAGGAACAAAATTGATTCATCAACTGTGGTCAAAGTATCTTTACAATACCAGATAAAATTAAGATGCCATCATCTGTGCCATAGGACTAGTTAACTCCAGTTAACTAGTTACATCAAACTGCCTCTGGATGTGGTCTATTTCAGGAAATAAAATGGGCCTTAAATATAGCCTTACTTATAATCTTAGAGTTAACTCCAGAGTAAATTAGCTTCAGGGCAGTAGAAAGAAAGAAAAATTAAGCACAAGATTTTTAAAAAGTTTCCATCCCCTACAATGAAATGCATTATGGGTTATGCTTTAAGAATTGTTAACATCACAGCAAAAAATACATTCTCTCACCTTCTGTGTAGACTTCATCATGATTCTCTATTTGTTCAGATATTTCCAAATCTCTGATTTGGCTCCAAAACCTTCCAGGTATGTCTGAATTTCTGGCAGGAAATGCGTTCAAAACTGCAAGTTCTGAGGCTTTTTCCATTCTCTTCAATATAACAGAAGAAATTCCATTAAGATGACGATGAGTTTGTTCAGGGTTAGAGAATTTCTGTCCTATTCAAGAATCTGACTTTCTACCAACTACTAAGATTCTTTCATTTTTCCATTTTTGAAGGAGCTTTGAGGTTTAAACATCCACCCCAAATAACTTTTTGGTTTCATATATAATATTAAATTACTTGCAGAGTTTTACCAGGTTCTAACAAGTATTCACAATGCTTATATTTGAACCAAAGGTTATTTAAACTTTAGATAACTTTTGTTTAGGGCATTAGTAATGGGATTCTGAGACCTGGATATTTTATTTTAAATAAAAATTTAGTATTTTATTAGTTTGCACGCCACTATGACTTGCAAATGAATATGAACCAGAAGCAGAGTAATTACAACTTCCTCAAATTACTACTCCTGAAAGGAGCCTCCCATCATCTATATATTAGGCAAACTAGAAGTTCAATAAAATTGGGCTGAACAGAGTCACTGAACTGTAGTCATCCAGAATATTTCAACTCAACAGTCAGAGTCCAGTAAAAACACTACCAAATCAACAGGATTGGGCAAAGGAATGGAGGAGGTGAGCAAACTGCCTTAGCATTTTGATTTACCTGCACAGTATAAAAAACCTTATTTTACAACTAAATCCCTGACTTTCCCCCTTCCCACAAACCTGCTTTCCCCCGTGCTTGCAACTCAGGTAGTGACAACTCTTCTTTCAGTTGCTCAAACTTTAGACAAAACCTTTGGAGTCCTCTTTAATCCAATCTCTCTCTCTCTCACTTACAATCTGTCAGGAAATATGTTGACTCTAATTTCAGAAAATATCCAGAATCTGACCCCTTCTCATCACTTCCACTGCTATCACTTTGGTCCAAAGCACAATTTCCTCAACAGGTTTTCTGGCATAGCCTCTCACCATAGCAGTGAGAGATCCCTTTAAAATGGAAGCCATATCATGTTATAATTCCACCCAAAATTGGGAGCTTCGGTGGCTCCCAATATCAGTCAGAACAAAAGTCAAAGACCTTATAATGTGCTTCAAGGTCCTGTGCCACCAGGCCCTTCGTGAGCTCTCCAACCTCCTTGCCTGCTGCTCATCCCTTTGCTCACTCTGTTTCAGCCACGCTGACCTCCTTGTTTGTTCCTCCTCAAATATGTCAAGTGTGTGCCACAGGGCCTTTGCCCTTACTTCCCCTCTGCTAGATCTGCTCTCCTACAGGTATCCATATGACTCCCTCACTTTCTCAAGTCCTTGCTCAAATGTCACTTTCTCAAGCCATCTCTGACCACCCTATGTGAAACTATAACCACTCTCCTATGGTTCACCTTCTCCTCCTTCTTTATAGCACTTATCACCCTATATTTTATCATTTATTGTCTCCTTCGTGTAGAATGGTAGCAGGGATTATTGTCTTCTCAGAATTGAACCCCTACCACCTAGAACAGTGCTAGGCACTTAACTACTTTGGTATGGCGCTCACCGGCCTCGAAACCTTGCCCACAGCTGGCACTAACAGTCCGCACGACAATTTGTGCTGTGCATTTACTATGAATCCATTTTGCTCTTGTGTGATGAGGAAAGCTTTAAAGCACTGAAAGCTTGTTTTACTTTACAGGCAACTTTCCTTATAATGTACATCAGAATAGGTAACATATAATGTTTCATTATTTTTTTTTTTTTTTTGAGACAGAGTCTCGCTTTGTTGCCCTGGCTAGAGTGAGTGCTGTGGCGTCAGCCTAGCTCACAGCAACCTCAAACTCCTGGGCTCGAGCAATCCTGCTGCCTCAGCCTCCCAAGTAGCTGGGACTACAGGCATGCGCCACCATGCCCGGCTAATTTTTTCTATATATATTAGTTGGCCAATTAATTTCTTTCTATTTATAGTAGAGATGGGGTCTCGCTCTTGCTCAGGCTGGTTTCGAACTCCTGACCTCGAGCAATCCGCCCACCTCGGCCTCCCAGAGTGCTAGGATTACAGGCGTGAGCCACCGCGCCCGGCCCATTATGTTATTTTTAAATGTTCACAATTTTATTTTGATAAATGAAAAATTAGAAAAGTCATATCATGGCTGTTGGCTAAAATGGATGCTCGGCTGTGCACCTTCATATCATGGCTGTCGGCTAAAGTCACTGTGCGTGTTCATCTATGGCTATCGACTATAGTCAACGCTCGTACAGAAGTGGTTCACAGGTGCCCAATAAATGTTAAAAGAATAAGTAAATGAAACATATTCAAAAAAGGTATACTTTCCTCTATTTATATTGTCACCTGACCTGTTTTGAAAATGAGTTTTTCTTTTGCCCTTTGTGGAAAGACTGGTAGTATCTCTGCCAAAAGTGGTGGGCTTTACTGTCCAAGTGCTCACGGGTTTCATATATTAGGTTCAAGTCAGACAGAAACAGAGGAATGAAGTTGAAAGGTCAAGGGTAATTTGAAAAAGATGTAGAAAACATAATACACAGGAAAAGATATGAACCAGAAGAAAGTATGATGTTATTAGAGTTACAGTCAAGAAAAATATCATTTACTCCTTATGAGGTCACTCTGCAGAGACCTGTTTTCCCATATTATGTCTCATAGTCTCTGTCTGATATGACCAAATTTATATTGGTGGTATATGACATTTATTGGATTTAAGGTTGGTCGATACATAGTCTTTCCTTTAGGTTCTTAAATTCTAAGACAGCAAGATGAATTTTGCATATACCAAATATATACATATATGTAAATAATATACAAATAAATTGATCAACCTTAATTTTTTGTTTGTTTGTTTGTTTTTTGAGACAGAGTCTCGCTTGTTGCCCAGGCTAGAGTGAGTGCCATGGCGTCAGCCTAGCTCACAGCAACCTCAAACTCCTGGGCTCAAGCAATCCTTCTGCCTCAGCCTCCCGAGTAGCTGGACTACAGGCATGCCCACCATGCCGGCTAATTTTTTATATATATTTAGTTGGCCAATTAATTTTTTATTTAAGTAGAGACGGGGTATTGCTCTTGCTCAGGCTGGTTTCGAACTCCTGACCTCGAGCAATCCGCCCACCTCGGCCTCCCAGAGTGCTAGGATTATAGGCTTGAGCCACCGCACCCGGCCAACCTTAATTTTTTAAACTAACACCCACAAACAAAAAATAAACAACAAACACAGCTATGTAGATTTATTTCCTCAGGCTACGAGTGAAAGAAATAAATATGTACGATGTGTCATCCTACCTGAGTTGGAATTTATACAGGTTCTTAACAGAAGAAGGTAGAGAGCTTGGGAGATAAGAAGAAGCAGATTGAAGGATAAAGAAGGATAGAATCCAGCACTGACAAATAAGGGAGTAAAGAGAAATGTCTGCTTGGCTTTAACAAGGCAAGTGATTTTGACATCATGTAAAATGAAGATCTGGGCCAGGTGTGGTGGTTCACACCTATAATCTTAGCACTCTGGGAGGCTAAGGAGGAAGGATCACCTGAGGTCAGGAGATTGAGAACAGCACAAGAAAAATTGAGATCCCATCTCTACTAAAAATAGAAAAAATTAGCTGGGCATGGTAGTGCACATGTATAGTTCCAGCTACTTGGGAGGCTGAGATAGGAGGAACACTTGAGCCCAGGAATTTGAGGTTGCAGTGAGCTATGATGATGTCACTGCGCTTTAGTCCAGGCAAAAGAGTGAGACTCTGTCTCAAATAAATAAATAAAATGAAGATGGGGGAACTACTAGATGATACTAAGGATTATAAATAATCGCTGTATTTCTTTCTTTTAAAATATTACATCCTTACCATTTTTTCCAACTTATTCTTTCAGGACTTATTCCAAGTCCTGATTGAAGGCTAGCTCTGTTCCAGCACTGTTGTAGGCATTAATAGGAAACAGAAGTAAAAGTTTCTGTTCTTAAAAAGTTCCCTTTTTTTATATTTGGTTCCGCATGTCATCTGTGTAATAAACAACTCAAGAACAGTTCTAAAGCAATGCGGAGTGATTTAAAAGAACTGAATACCTTCAAAAGTTTATTGCTCAGTAACTATGTTATAAATAAGCATGTAATTTGTAAAGGAACTATCTCAGTTATTCCCATGATCTTATAAATGCTCAGTATGTGCTGCTTGTGTCACATAGCATATATCAATTTCATGGTTCCCTCCAGATCCTTTGTAGCCTGTGGATGGATGACCATGGATGACAGACACAGCAGTTGCAATGTAATCCTTCATTGCCTCAAAACCAGGGGATATAAACATGAGTTTGACACACCCTCATGTGCACCCTCATGAGTTTGACACACCCTCATACTACATGACCATATATAATAGTGCTATAATATTAATATATTTATGAAGTACCAATTATTTTTTAATCACTTTGTATAAAAGCAAATGTTTGATGTTATATCTGTATATACATACCAAAATAATTCCAAGGGAAAGAGTATTAGAGGATGGGATTAGGTGATTGAGGTGGGTGAGGAGGAACATCTCAAGTTGAGCTATAAGGGAAGGGTCTGGTTTGGCCTCTCAGAGAGAACAGATATTCTAGGCTGAAGGATCAGCATGAGTAAAAGCAAAGGGAACTGCTGTATGATGTAGGAGAAGGAGATTAGCCTGACAAGAGTCACACAGAGTATCACTATAGGGGCTGCTACAGGTTAAGTTGATGTTATAGGTTGATTCACAGAAGGCCTTAAATGCCCGTCTGGAATGTACAAAATTTCATCTGACAACACACAGAATCACTGAAGGTTCAAGAGCAAAGAGCTGACTTGATGAAAATGTTTAGAAAGCTCAATCAAGTCACAGAATACACTGGAGTAAGATGAGTCAGTTTGTCTAATCAGGATGAGGATGAATCACAAATCACTATGGACTATTGCATTTGGGGTGAGCTGCTGTAGGACTCACAGTTTTACCCAAGCATCAGCTTGATTCTAAGTGACTTCAACATCTCTGAGGATGATTCAACATTTCAGTCTGAGCAGTATTCCAACAACTTTCCACTCAATTCCACTTCAGCAACACACTGACATGGTCACCCTGAACCATGTCATGTGAAGCATGGTACACAGCATTTTCCATAGCTGAAACAAATTCTGATAACCCTATCTCCAACATCAACCCCCTATCAATCTCCCTGTTTCATTCTCCCTACTTACTCCTGTGACATTGATATAGGACAACCCAGGTCCAACAGAAAACACATCAACACATCTCGTTATGAAAATGCCCTCTTCATTTCTAGATCCTTCTAGTCATTAGAAAATTATTCCTTGTGATCCACATACAGCTTTTACCCACTGGTTCCCTATGTCAATGTAACTACAGTACAGTTTTTCCAACATCTGAGGTAGGCCACCATATCCTTTCCTAAGGCTTCTCCTTCCCTGTTTCTTTAATCCTCTTCATGTGATACTCATGGCATTTAAAAGAGCATGTCTACACACATGTTTTCCTGTCATTCCTACTTAAATGCTTTCATAAGAAGCAAAAGAATGAAAAAATATTAAAAAGTATAAAATTAAGGCAAATACATAGTCACATGGGAATAAAAATAGCAAGATATATACAAAGTAGAGACCTATTAGTATTTCTTTTCAATCTGAATATGCCTGACTCTCAATTCTGTTTTAATTTTGAAATATCCTTACCTTAATCCAGGGTTCTGCATTGTCAGGGTCAAAGGCAAGCTGTGTGGATAATATACACAGAATATTAATACACAGTGATATCTTCATCATCTTTGCCATTTTAATCTATCCTTCTAACTAAGCATATGGAAAAGTGTCCTTTAGCATTTCCCCAAAGAATTTCAATTGCAAAGTTCAGCATTGATTAGCAATAATTGATGTAATTATTAACTACAACATGAAGCCTTCTCTGGGACATTGTCTGACTTTTTATTTCTAGTCTAGACCCACCCTGAGATTTGGATTTAATTGGTCTGGGATAGGACCCAGGCATCAGTATTTTTTTTAAAGCAGGGTTAAGAGCCAAGATATAAAAATGCTAGATATAAAAACCATAAAAATGATTTTCAAAAATCATAAAAACCCTGATTAATTACCCAAACAGGCACTGATTAATTGGCCAGATTATCCAACCTATCTTCAGCCTGGAGAAGGGTATGCTCCTCTCCTTACTCTTTTCAGGAGAAGCCTGGAGCAAGAGGCTCTCTTATCTTACCTAGGGTTTGGTTCAGTAAGAACTGGGGTGGGGTGAGGGTTAATCAATCTGACTTCCGTTTTATAAAGCAGAAGATGAGGTGGAAGACAAGTAAATTTCCACCCAGATCAGTCAGATATTAACCTGAAATTAGAAATCAGATTATTAGGACTTTTCCTTTCTTCACTTTAACTCCCAGAAGCTAGCAGAATTCCCTCCGATCTTCACTTAACAAATAGAGGTATTTGCTTTACTAAAAATTAGGTGGGTTTTAAAAATAAGGAGATATCTAAACTAGCATAGTGACACATGAAGGTGGGAAAGTATAATACTCTTTCATTTACCTAACACTTCCCCTTCAAATCACCTTACAGATAAATAATTAATGCAGTTGTCCTGCTGAATCATTTTGTCACTGCAACAAAAAAGAACTGATCCCATTAAAACACAACTGAACTTTAAGGAGCTCTGTGTTTTTACCTTTTCATCCTCTAGGCAGTAACAATGAGCACTACCAGCAAAAAAATTTCCTTTTGGAGTCCTAAGAAATTGTCCCAAATCTTTACCTTTCATTATCAAGGCTATATCCATAACCTATTTTGGATCCAATCCATTATGCAACTGATGCACTGCAGGAGGAGCAGCCTCAGTTTCCAAGTCTCTCTAATGCTCCAGTCTGCACCCTCCAGTATCTGGGGCAAAATAATTACCAAGTGCAGTATGTCGAGTGCATTTAGAGGGTAAATTTAGAATAAACCACAAGAACAACTGCCTGGGGCTCTCACAAAGGCCACACATCCACAGAATATTTTTTTGGAAAGTGTAATGTAAGGGTGAAAACAGCTGGTGAAACTGCTCTGGAGTTGAAAGCTGAGAAGCCTCTCCATTTTAGTACTCTTACATTTAAAGCATTTATTTTTGTGACTGTTAAAAAGGTATCTTGTGGAAAGCACACACCGTGTGACTGTGACTTTGCACATGTCACTTACATATGTTTCAAGTTTAAAATGGGGTTATCAGTTTTTTTCTTGTCCTCAGGTGCTAATGCTTCAAAAAAGATAGGAAGAGGATCTATCTTTTGAATGCTGGTTAAATTTAGAAATTCCCATGTGAATCAAGTATTGCTATATTCAATATTCACTTGCATACCTGAGTTCATTTTAGGTATTTTATGTAAAAACCGCAAGGGTAGGAACATAGGCTGAGCATTTAATGTGAAGATCTCCCCCCATTCAATAAAGATCAGTTCTCTAAGATTTGCAAAACATGAAAGAAAGAAAGGAAAGTTAAGGAAAGGAAGGAAGGAAGGAAGGAAGGGAGAAAGGGAAAGGAGGGGAAGGAGGGAGGGAGGGAGGGAGAGAGGGAGGGGGGGAGAGAGAGAGAGAGAGAGAGACAGAGAGAGGAAGGGAGAGAAGGAAGGAAAGAGAGAGAGAAGGAAGGAAGGAAAGAGAGAAGAAAGGAAGGAAGGAAAGAGAGAGAGAGAGAGAAGAAAGGAAGGGAAAGGAAAGAAAAGGAAAGAAAGACAATTTGTGGGAAGTTTCCTAAAATTGGCGGTGGGGAGAAGCGAGGTTGCAAATTCTCATTCACTTGGATAGGCATTAAGCAGACCTCTCCTGTTTGAGAAGAGCGTTAGATGAAAACAGTTTTTCCACAATACTGCCCAGCAATGCCGTAAGGTGCCCAGACCCCAAAAAGCTCCGAGAAGCACTTCACTCAGCTCAATACCGTCTCCCGGGTGGTCAAGGCAGGGGCGTGTCAGGTAGGGATGCTCTGTGGGGAAGAGGGAGGAAGCACAGTAGGTGCTGCCCGTGGCCTCGGGACTGGGCAGAGTCTTGGACAGGTCCCCGCCCCCCAAAGCTCCCGATTGGGATCACCTTGGGATTCGGCTTTCTTGTGAGCTGTTTCCAACGACTCAGCCCCATCCTCTTCGAGGAGGACCCTTCCTGGGGTGTCAGCAGCATTTTCCAAATTCAGGCCCGGACCCGGCCAAAGCTGCAACCGCTCCTCTGCGCGGGCTGCTTCCGGGTCTCTCTGGGAGTTGTAGTTTCTCCGCCCGCAAAGAAAGCAGGTATACGATGCCGTCGAACCACCACTCCCAGGAGGCTTTGCGCAGGCGAATCGCGTTGGCACAGTTACCATGGCCACGGCAGGGCTCAGTGGGCCTTGCGGTTGCCGGGGCTCGTTTTGATTTCGCCCTGGACTCTTTCTGGCGTCCGGTGATGACGCAATGCTCCCGGATTGGCTCCATAGTGGAGGCGGTGGTTTAGGGGACCAAGAATTCTGCAACCTGGACATGTGGTAGTGAACTGTGAGGAATTGGAGGTTTGAAGGCCAAAAGAGTTGGCAGTTTGCGCGTAAGTAGCAAACTTTCCGCGTAAGTCCCTTTCCGCCTGCTGTGGGAGCTGCCAGGGATGGATGAGTTGCGTCGTGCCGAGACGCATCCTGGTTGTGTTGCAGTAACTGTAATTGTATTCCCGCCTCGTCTCCCCTTCCCTTTTCTGGTTGCCAGGTGGATCTTGCGGATTCTATCAAATCGTGTGAGTGTCGCCGACATCTCTGAGAGAAAAGGGTCCCCTTTCGACCGGCCTCTGCTCAAGGATCAAATTCTCAGAAAGTTTTTTTCCAGAACTGCCCAGGATACTTGGGAGGATGGGACGATCTCCAATACGTGATCTAGGCGCTTAACGAGAGCTGGGGCCCCGGAAATGGCCCCCGCAGCGAAGATAAATCCAGTCTTATTGGCTGACACTAGATGTTTGCAGGGAGAGTTTACTCTTGAAGGCTACATGGGTTTTTAAAGAAAAGTGGAGATTTAGAGCGGGAGCTTTGAACCCAGCTACTTTGTGGCTGTATGACCTTAGGCAACTTGTTTAATAACTCTTGAACCCTCAGTTTTCTCATTGGTAAAATGGGAGGATAATACCTAAATCGTTGTGAGTGTTGTAATGATTAAAAATCAATGTACGTAAAGCGTTATGCCAGGATGTGTAAACTAAAGTTGACTTGAAATTGGTGAAAATGAGGTCAGGGAAGCCAAAACCTCAGACTATTGTAGTGATCCTAGAACCAGCTCTGTAACTTAAGTGTCCATCAGAAAAGGCATGGTTGAATAAGTTGTGTTCATAAAAACTATGCAGTATCACGAAGTAGTTTTTTTAAAAAGGATAAGTTAGTTCTCTGTCTCTTCTTTGATAAAGATATCAATTGTGTATTCCTGAGAGAAAAATAGATGACAGAGAAGTGCATATAGTATAGTATGTTTCCATTTTTGTAAAAGTAAACCATGGCCACAAACACCCCCTCTTATATACAAGTATATTTAAATATTTGTATGAGTATGGAGAAAGGTTGTAGAAGCTGGAAGGATGGAGGAAAGGCAGAGGAGAGAAAATGGGTAGAGAACAACAAGAACACTGTAGCAAAATGGAAACTATGATTATAAAATTATATCTTAATATTACTGTTAATATGTAAACATTGCCTATGTTTACGGACAAGATAGAACTTCTAATACGCTGCTAGCCTATTAGAGTAAACTTCTAAAGCTAGACTTCTATAATTTAAGTCCTAGCTCTGCCACTTACCAGCTGGTGACTATCAATCAGCCTCAGTTTCCTCATCTGTAAAATGCAGATAATAATAACATCTATATTATGCATTTGATATGAGGATTAATGGAGTTAATATGTAAAGAACAGTGCTTGATATATAGTAAATACCCAATAAATATTAGTTGCTGCTATTGTTATATCTTTCAGGTGGTGAAATTAATTTAACTCTTATTGTGATTACTGCCATTTGGACTACTGCCATCTTATTTTGTAATTTTCTGTTTTTCTATTTTTGATGTACTTTTTTGGTCTGTTTTCCTTTTTCTTGCCTTTTATTGGATTGATCAATTTTTCTTTGTCCTCTCCCATCCCTCTCCAATGGGTTTGGAAATTATGCATTCTTATCATTCATCTTTTACTGGTTACTTCTGAACTTTTAATACACATACTAAATAAAGTTTAACATTATTCAGTATCTCTCTCCACCTACCAAATAGTGTAAGGATTTCGTAATAACTCTACCTCTGAAAAGTCTTCTTGTGTTACTGTTTTTTAGAATTTTAGCATTTCTGTGTCATTTGTAAGTCAGCACAGTGTACCATATTGTTTGGAAGTCCTTCAGACTTTTTTCTATGCATAGACAAACATAGATAGAGTGTGAATGTGGGGTTGGGGGTAGAGATGTAGTTGTGTACTTCTAAATGCACATAGTTTTTCTTTCCACAAAAAAAATGTGGTCACCCAAGCTTGCTCTTTTCCCTTAGGAAATTTGGATGTTTCCATTAGTGTATGTAGAGAATTCATCTAACAAACATTTAAAAATTCCTTCTCTCCTGATAGATGAGAGGTTTGGGGGTGGCACCAGAGGCATTAGTACAGCTACAGGTTGCCGAAGGTACAGGGAATTTGTGTTCTTATAAAGGTACAGATTCACTAGCTTATCATTTGTCCTTATACTCTAATGGTTTTTCCTTAATACTTTCCTAGGAACTCCATCTATAGAAGTGAAGTGTGAATATTTGAATATTTAGAAAAGCACAACACCAGAAATATTAGAAAAGACCCACAACAAGTGAAAAGGGAAAGGATGATGATAAAAGCAAATAAAAATCAGTTTATATTTTGGAGACTATTGATCTGTATTGACAGTCAATGGAGACAGCTACTAAGTGATTAATGGGCAGGGACTGTGTATAGTGTGTTTACGTTGGACACAGGGATGATCCATGTCCCAGGTGGGATGGAGTACGACAGCTTGAGATTCCACCATGCTTCTCAGAAGAGTGTGGAATTTCAAACTTATAAATTGTTTCTTTCTAGAATTTTCCATTAAATATTTTTGGACTTCAGATGATGTAACTGAAACCATGGAAAATGAAACTGTGTGAAAGGGGGCTACTGTATTAAGAGAACCAGTGGGGTTCCTTTTAGTTGCCTTTATGTGTATGATTATGATTTATTCCTATGCTGATTCGGTGCTTACACAGCATATTTGACTTCCTGTATGGCATTCTGTAGGGCAAAAATGCATTGACTGTTCCACTTTCCTTTTTTTGGCTCTCAGACTAATAATTGTGCAGTCTGATTTTGTTGTTTAATCTTGGAGGTTAGTTGGTTTGAGCCTAACCCTGAGTGATGGATCTGTGCTGGGTGTATGGACAAGATCAGACTCAGAGCTTGCCAGGCAGAAGGCTGACTAGTAGCCAGCCCACCAAGCAGTACAAGGCTGTAAGGCCTTTGAGGGAATAGCAGGTGGCCATTCTTTGACCATGTGTGTCATTCTGTTGGCATAGGTCAAATGGCTTGAGAGTTACTTTCTTACTTTATTTTTTTGGAGACAAGAGTCTCGCTCTGTCACCCTGGCTAAAGTACAGTTGCATCACTGTAGCTTACTGTACCCTCTAGCTCCTGGGCTCAAGCAGTCCTCCTGCCTCAGCTTTCCCAGTAGCTGGGACTATAGGCACACACCACCACGCCTGGCTAATTTTTTGTTTTTGGTAGAGAAAGGGTCTCGCTCTTGCTCAGGCTGGTCTCAAACTCCTGACCTTCAGCAATCCTCCCATGTTGGCCTCCCAGAGTGCTAGGATTACAGGTGTGAGTCACCATGCCTCGCTCAGAGTTCCTTTCTTTTTATGACTTTCCACATGTGTTGTGGGGGGAGATATTTTACAGATGTCCTATAAAATTTTGAAAAGTCTTCTCTTCCTTTGAGTGGCCATGGTATGCTACAGGATATTCTAAAAAAAAAAAAAGTCAGAATGCATCTTGTAGCATGTTAGATTTGCTCTCGTTTAAAAGGCATAATAAAGATAGCACAGGCCTCTGCAGGAGGCCTAGGTTCTAGACCATGCCTGTAATTAATCTTGCTGAGCCTCAGATTTGTTATTGTAAAATGGCAGAGGGGGTGATGATGGTGATGAGGGGTTCCCAGGTTGGGGTCTGTGGTGGTAATGGTGGAACTCTGAAACTACTTTCAGCATTTCTAAAATCTAATGGCAATCATTCATATTGGGATATTAAGTACAACTTTACTAAAGCATTGGGGTTTGTCATTTTTACCTAACATTGAGTTAACTCAGCATGGAAAAGCAGATTATCTCTTGCTCATCAGAAACTTTATTGGTCATTTATATCATTTATTAATAAACTACAGAAATGAGAGCATGGGTTTGATAGGGAGAGATAATGAAAGTTGGTAACATTCTAGAATCCTAAACATCATTTTTCAAACATACTAGTTTTACTATATGAAGGATCTTCCTTTCTTTAATATGAATTTAATTTCAAAAATGCAGCTCATGTTTGTACATTCAAACTCATTACATACTTTAGACAGCTCAGGCAAGACAATTTTTGGAGTGAGGAGAGGTGCCAATGAGTTCTTGTCTCTAGCCCTTTCTGAGATAGCTCCAGACAATACAGTTTCTTCCATTCTCAGATGTGTGTGAGGATAGGAAGTGTTTAAGTTATTTCAGTATTAATAATCTTGGTCCATCATTATATTTTCATTAGTTCTTATTTATGTTTCAAAAATCTAGTGTTCCATATTGGTTGATTTCAATATTCAGTCAGAATAACAGGTGTTGATGTATTAGCTTTGAAGTACATTTCTTTGTACTTTGCTCACCCTGCTTCAATTCTTTAGAGTTACTTAGATTGCAAAATACTGTCTTTAATTTTGCTTTAGAGTTATGTTGGTTTAAAATACAAAAAATATTTTTATCACTTGAAATTAGTATTGTCTGATAAATAAGGAATATGATTCCTCTATTATGTTTTCTAGATTACATTTTTATTAGCCTATAATTATATTTTTTAATATTTTTGAAATAAACTTTCTTCTTTTAGCAGTTTTAATGTGTAACAATAGTGAATCAAACAGCTTTTACACTATTTTTGTTAAAATATAACTTTTTTCCCTTAACAGTTTCTATGTTAGTGGGTTCTAATAACATTTATTTTTGTGTTTCTATCTTTGTGATAACTTGAAATAATGATGTTGTAGTCATAGAAAATAGAAAATTGACCAGGCTTTCCTTAAACAGTTATACTAGCTTTTATAATCTATGTTAAACATGAAATCTCTTATTTGACCATACACAAAGTAGTTATTCTTATCTAATGACTATACTGGCTATTTTATTTAAATATAAGAATTTATGCCTCTCAAAAAAGTAATGTTTGCATTTCTGAATATTTTTAACTAATGATGGATAAGCCTTATTTGTTTGGCAGCATCTTAAACAATGGTTGACTTTCAGAGTATGGTGTAGCATAACACTTAAGAGCATGGGCTCCATAGCTGGAGCCTGTCAGATAGCTATAATAATTTATCAAGGAATAAAACTGGGTCTGGCTAAATTGGTAAGAATTCCAGAGGGTATGGTACTTGCTGTAGAGATGTAATGAAGTATTTGTAAAATGTTGGTATGTCTGGTGACATTTTACAAATGATCTGCCATGCATACTTATCAAGTTCTGTAGTGCATTTTAAAAGTGGAACTCAGTATTTTGCTTCTCTGAATACTAAATTATTTAAAAGCAGCCAACAAATAATTAATGTTTTCTGATTTTTTTCCCTGCTGTTATCTATAGAAGTTAGAAAGTATTTCTTTGTTTTTTCTTTATGGAAATATTTGTCTTTCCCAATTATAAAAGTAATGACAAATTGCTTATAGATTACATGTATACTATAGAGTTTCTTACCTGTTTAGATGCCATATAAGAATAATTGGAAAATAATCCTACCTCAGAGATAATCTCTGTTCATCTTTTGTTGTATATTCTTCCATATATTTTAATAAACACCAGAATGCTATTTTGAAACTGTTTTCTTTACTTAACAACATTATTAGGAAAAATTGCTATATTGTTTAGTATTCTTTCAAACTGGAGAAAGAAAAAAATAATCAGTATGGCCTAAGCAGTATGACTGTTCTCTATATACATTTTCAAGGCTGAGAGTGAACCTTGGCTTCATGGCATCCTTTCCATGATTAGTCTTTCTCATTCGGTCCTCTCATTTATTTGGTTTTCATCAGCTCAGACAAAAATTCCAATTAATTTAAAAGTAGTTGATGTCATCATATTACTCTGGGACCCTGGGGAAAGTATTTTATTTTCTCTGTGTCTTTTCCTATTCTCCTTTTTGTGATATCTAAGATAATTGTAGACTGGAAGTAGTAAGGAACATGCTATCATTCTTCTGTAGGTTGCTTTCTGTGCAAAATGCTTAGACTTTAGATGTTGTGATGGTCCTTCTAACTTTAATGTTCTTTTCTTGTCAGGACCTAGAGGAATCCCTTAGGATGAAGCTGAGTCTTACCAAGGTAGTTAATGGCTGTCGCCTGGGAAAAATAAAGAACCTGGGCAAAACAGAGGACCGCACCATGGACATTCCAGGCTGCCTTCTGTACACCAAGACTGGCTCTGCCCCACACCTCACCCATCAAATGCTGCAAAATATTCATGGGCTTCCTGCCATGGTTCAGCTTACGCTGTCATCCCTGTAAGTGTTAGAACCAATCATTCAAGTGTTGATTCTGGCAGCAGCTTAGTTACCTTAACTGGGTACAACAAAGAGAAAGATTTCTTTTGCTCATATTTTAGATTTTAGATTTTGCTCATAATTTTAGATTTCCAGAAAGAAAGGTATCAGACGTTATATATCATCTGGCCCTAATCTGGAAGCCACAGGCCAGACCTACCTGTTGGATGTGCTTCACTTTTCCTCCAAACCCACAGTTCTATACTAGCCTCATCGCCACTGCACCCAGGGTGATAGGGCAGGAAATGCTCTATGAGAGCTAAACGTGGAGTTCAGGCACCGTCATCATGTACCAGCGTCAAAATTTTTTCTGCCTCTGTACAGGTACTTGCTAGTACTACTTTATGGAAACACAACTAATGAAGTTAGATCATTTTGTGCAATGTACATACTAACTATATACTTAATTGAAGAGGCTGCTATATGACTAAATACCTCTGCAGTACTGTGTTAATAACAGTGATTTTAAAGGATTAAGAGGAGAAAGAAATTCCAAGTATTCTAAAGCAACTGATCTTTGCCAATTTCTCTTCTCATAGAATCACTTGCCAGTTGAAGACCTTTATTGTGGTTAATGAACCTAGCCTAGTTACTTGGGACTCTTGAATAATGGTGTACTTGTTATTTAAGACTGCATTTATTATCACATAGCTTATTTGTGTAAGAAGAGGTGTTCAGTTGTTGTATGGAGTATCTGCAGAATGATTCATTATTGTGTTATATATTTTTTTGTTTTGTTTATAGGGCAGAACATCATGAAGTCTTGGCAGAATATAAGGAAGGAGTTGGAAAGTTTATAGGTAAAAATTAATTATTTGTGTGTGCTTTGTGTGTGTTAATTTGGAGTTTGGAGGTTGAATGTTGACTATATTGACCAACTTTCCTTCATACATGTATTTATTCATTATTTTAATATGCATTCTTTGAACATCTAAGAACCTGGCACTGGGAGTATAAAGTTGAATAGGAAACAGTTGCTGCTGTTGTGGAACTTGGAGCCTAGCTGACATAAAGATAAATAGATGATTCTAGTAAGAATGTAGTGATTGCTTTACATGTAACATATATCATGACAGGCCAGAGGCAGGAGCACATACCCTGCTCTGGGGTGTATGAGGAAGGTGTCAGAATAAAGAAAGGATTATTGAGAGAGAAGATGAGGGGTCATCTTAGCTGGTCAAGGCAGAGCAGGCGTTAGCAGCAGGTGGTAACCTACAGGTGTTGAGCAAGACACTCCGGGCAATGAGCAAAAACCCAGGGATGAGAACTTGCATGGGGGATAGGTGAGATCCAAAGCAGTCTCATTATGCTTAAGCCTCAGACAGACAGGAGAGGGTGAAGAGTTTATATACAGCTATATTCTGATATGTTGATGGTACCTTTTGTTCCAGAAATAGGATTTTATATGCAGATGTATATGTCCATTTATTTATAGGGAAAGCTTAGTGGTGATAGCTAGAGAACCAATCTCCTGCAGACTTTCTCCTGAAGCTTTTTCCCAATATCTAAGACTCAGCCTAACTGAGTGAAAGTCCTGTTTCTGTTGGTTATTAAGTCCTCTGCTTCTGATGGCAGACGCATGATGACTTGTTGGTTGTCACAAGGCCCTGTATTTCAGTAGAGGAATTTATGTAATATCATTCTCCTTGATCTGAGGCCAGTGTTAATAACCAGCTTTAAAGTATACGAGCATATAGTTAAGTGAAAATAATATAAGCTTTGTGGAGATAATTGTAATAATTGAAATTGTGGAAAATAAGGTGGAGAACTGCAGAGATTTTTAGCATGCTCTATTTATTTATTTTTCTCTTTTTTAGTGGAATCCTATTTTTTTCTTCTTATGGAAAATGTGGGGTAGCATATTTTGTTTACTAACCATTTTTTTTTGTTCTTTTTTTTAATGATTATCTTTTTGACTAAAGAACCAAAGAAACTGTCATCTCAAGCCACTGAAATTTACTGAGAATGAGATCCCTTTGCAGTATTCTACACCTTCTCTAAAATTCTGCCCCTAGGGACCCATGATATTATTAATGAGTTTTATTATTAATGAGATTACCTTATGACCATATCATTTCATCTTTCCAGGAACTAGTTCCCCTTGGATGGTACCTAGAATGAGCATACTTGATATTAAATTCTTGAAATCAAATCAGGTGGGATCAACATGTCACTAAATACCTTCATTGTATCTCATACTTTAAGATACACCTTTCCTTTGTAGCAACTCATTATATATTAGATATAAACATTTAAATTTAATTCTTTTTTTAGATTAGTAGGTTTCAAAGTAATCTTTTAATTCATGTTGATAGGCCTCCCACAACTATTTACAATTATTTACTGTCTTTAGAGTTGCTTTCTCCAGTAGTACACATTGTTCCCTGTTCCCTGTTACCACACACTGTCATTGTTAATGTAAAGACTTTCAGGGATTCTTTTTTCTGTTTGTACAGGCATGCCAGAATCACTCTTGTACTGCTCCCTGCATGATCCGGTCAGCCATTGCCCAGCTGGTTATGTAACAAACAAGGTGTGTTCTCAGAAGGGCCTCCAAGATTACAGCTTTGTTCCAGAAGTCAGCCTGTAGTATTCCTCAGATGCTAGCATCCCACCGTTTGGGATGATCCTTTTATGCCTTCTCTTTATTTCAGTGATTATAGTGGGATGGGATGGTTTATAAGAGTTAGAGTAAGGATGAGGTTGCCTAAGGATGAGGTTAAGGTGAAGAATGTATCCTTAGCGTTTTCTGTGTAGCAAAAACTTTGATGGTGGAGGAGGGTCAGCTATATGCCAGAAACAGAAATTGCTGTGATAAGAAAAAACAATAATCTTTTGACTCCATGCTTTATTTGCAATTTTAACAATTTCAGGAAGAGTGGAGGAAGTTGCTGAGGAGTGTTATCACATGTACTACTATATATAGTAGAACTTTAATATATTATAATACTGCCTGCTGGTAGAACAGAATTTGAAAAAGCAGGGTCCGCAGCCAGAGATTTTATCTACTGAAGAACAGTATCAAAAGGACTTCATTAAAAATCTTCATCTGAGAGGTGGCCCCATTGGCATTATCCCTGAGAACAGCATACTGGCAAGGCTCCAGTGTGTACTGCTGCTTTAAAAACACACTTTTCCTGCACTCACTTTATTAATGTCAGCAATACTTACTAACCATACCTAAGAACACTATTTTCAATTATTCTTCTGTTTTAAGCTTCTTTTTATTTTGTAATTTGAATTCTAAAGAAAATATTTTGGTGGGGCAGGGTGGTGGCTCATGCCTATAATCCTAGCACTCTGAGTGGCCGAGGCAGGAGGATTGCTTGAGGTCAGGAGTTCAAGACCAGACTGAGCAAAAGCAAGACTCCCATCTCTACTAAAAATAGAAAAACTTAGTCAGGCATAATGCTAGGTGCCTGTAGTCCCAGTGACTCGGAGGTTGAGGCAGTAGGATCACTTGAGCCCAGGAGTTTGAGGTTGCAGTGAACTATGATGACCCCACTGTACTCTAGCCAGGGCTACAGAGAGAGACTGTCAAAAATAAATAAATTAAAAAAAAGAAAGAAGAAAATATTTTGACCTTCATTATCTACCCCAATTGTAAGGGAGAGAGAATTCATTTAAGCAGTAATTTTTATGCCTTAGTGCAGAATAGAGATTCTCTTGAACTATGGCATTTTTGCACATAATTCTGTATCTAACTCAATCTAGTAATCACTGACCAAATGTTAATAATATCTGGGGTCCTAGACTGTGTTTTTGGGATACAAACATGAACTGGGATACTCTAGTCAGACAAATATACAATAGTGTGATAAGCAGTATTTTTTCTATAAAATAAGTAAGTCCAAATTGCTGTAAGAGCTTAGAGGAGAGAGTGATTGATTATGCCAAGGAAGGTTTAGGGACACATTAGAGTAGGTGATATGTGAACTCGGTGTCTTAAATGATGCACAGTATTTTGCCAGGCAAAGAAGTGGGAGGAGTCCCAACACGTAGAAATGCTAAATACTTGAAGTGATGCATTGCATGCCCTAAACACCCTATGCATTACCTATTTTATGCATATAATAAAATATTACATGTACCCTATAAAAATGTATACATACTATGTATTAACAAAAAATAAGAAGTAATAGGTAATTTCAGTAAGTAAGTAAGAAGTAATTTCAGTCAAAAGAAACAATGTGATCAAAAGCAGAGAAGAATCAAAGTCTGGTGTATTCAGGAGCAGCAAGGATGGGATGGGGATAGAGTAGGTGGATGGGGAGAATGGAAGACTAAGCTAGAGAAATGAAACAAAAAATCCTTGGCTAGCTCAGATGTTGGCTTGCATGGCCATTGAAGAATTCTCTATGAGCTATGAGGTCCCTAGAGAATTTGGACCATAGTACTACTGTGTTGCCTACCATGTCTAAGATATTAAGGTGTCACCATCTCTTCAGTTGTAAAGAATTATTGCTTTATCATTTTATTACTTCCCTTTTATTTTCATTTTACTTTTGCTAATTCCTCATTGTCTTACTCTGTGGCAGTCTGTGTCTGTGTGGGGTATTGGAGGACGAGTGGAAATGACTGTTTCCAAGTTCATGGCAATTCAGCAGGCCCTTCAGCCAGACTGGTTCCAGTGCCTCTCAGATGGAGGGGCATCTTGTGAGGAAGCAACTTCCATGAAAAGGGCCAGAAAGTCTGTTGACCGGTCACTTCTATTCCTAGATAACTGTCTGCGGTTACAGGAAGAGTCAGAGGTAAGACTCCACCACTAACCACTCCTTTCTCTTGAAACTCTCAACTTCCTTCACATTCCATGATACCACTTTTTCTGTTCTCCCTCCTGCTTCTTTTCTCCTCACTTCTTGGTCTATTTTACTCTCCCCTTGTTTTAATTGCTGAATAATTCTAAAATTATATATACTATCAAGATCACTCTATGTAACTTTAGAATTACATAACTACCAGCCTATAACTAGGTCATATCACTAGACTGTCCCTCAGACTCAGAGGTAACCAGCTCCTTGTCTTACCTGCACAAATCTGTGCTTCCTTTTGCTCTTCTTGAACACTTTATCTCTTTTATAATATCCACCAACTTCATCAGTCCATACGTTTGAGCTTTTTAAGACTTTTTTTCCACTCACATTTAATATTCCAGTTGTTTGCTCTTCTTTAATTCTATCTGCCTAAATATGTCTAGAATCTTCCTTCTCCTTATCTCCACCTTAAGCCATAACCACTTTATCTCTTTGTACATGATTACCTTTGAATTGTTCTTTCTGCCTCCATTCTCATTTTTATCCAATCCATCTTCAGCTCTTTTATCTGAGAGATGTTTGTAAAAAGATGGAGAAGAAAAGAAAGCCAAAAACAGAATCCTGGGGAGCTTCAATATTGAAGGGCAATCAGAATAAGAGGATCTAGTGAATAAAATGGGGAAGGAATCACGGTAAAAGGAAAAGGTGTATGCAGACATACAAACAGACAGTCACACAGGCCTGCCCCTACATAACTAGCACAGCCCTATTTGAAAAACTCTTTTTCATAAGTATAAGTAGTATGATTCCTTTGCCTCTCACCGACTTCGTAAAAGAATTTAATGACTCTCCACTTGAGCTCTTACATGGCATGGATAGCATGCTGTGATGTGTGCCTCTGCCTACTCCTCTATCTCATTGTGGAATACTTTCTCCTGTGGCCTGCACTCCACTCTGGCCTTTCTGAGTTACTTACAATTCCTAGAGGCATTAGCCTATTTCATTATGGTGCTCCTGTTCACAAATTTCCTTCTGGACTGTTTCTTATCTCCAGCCATATTCCTTCTCTTGTTTCCATGTTGGGCTCATTGAATTCCATTCATCATTCTATGAAAGTAGTCACTGCTACTTCCAGGAACTTCAGGTCATTCTTTTCTACCCCTTTAATTTGTGTGCTGCTATATTACAGCCCCAATCATACTGTATTACAGTGATTTCTTATGTGTTTGTCTTTATTAAAACTGTGGCCTCCTTAAGCTCAATTTCTATGTGTCATTTTTGTATCTCCATCAAGTAGAAGAAGGCCTGACATATAATAAATGTTTGCTGATGGTGAATGGTTATGATGGGGTGAGGAAGATGGAGCTATAGCAGTAAATAACGGATTATGATAGCAGAGTTAATGAAATTGGAAAAAAAATGCATTTACTAGCAGAGAGCAAAGGAAGTAAGGGAACAGAAGATAAGAATCAGAGGGAAGAATTTCAGTATCTGAGATCATGTATATGGAATAATCCTGAGCAACGATCATGTCCTGCTATGATAAAGCATATTGAGTTTGAGGAACATTGTTATTTTGAATTTAGCAATAAAAATATAATTTGGGGTCAGGCAATGATGGCTCATACCTGTAATCCTAGCACTTTGGGAGGCTGAGGCAGGAGGATCACTTGAGGGTAAGAGTTTGAGGCCAGCTTGAGCATCATACATAGTAAGACCCTGTCTCTACAAAAACTAAGAAAAAACGTAGCCGGGTGTGGTGACACACCTATAGCCCCAGCTTTGTGGGAGGCTGGGACAGGAGGATCACTTGAGCCCATGAATTTGAGGTTGCAGTGAGCTATGATGATGCCAGTACACTCTAGCCTGGACAACAGAACAAGACCCTGTCTCAAAATATATATATATACACACACACATACATATTATATTAATATATAATATATTGCATTAATATATTATATATTATATTCCTCCATATGTGTACATATATAATTTGGCTTATAAAGTTAATATACATGAAAAAAATTAGAGGAAACTTAGTTTTTGTTCTGAATAGAACTCACAGTATCTGCCATTGGAGTTCAGTGTGGGGACATTGCTATGGTCTGGGTAGTGTTGGTGGCTTGCTAGCAAATGTTTTGAGCCAATAATTATCCTTATAGGACTGGTAATGTTTGGGTAAGTAAAAAGCAGGACAGGGAGTGTAACAAAGATGATTATTAGAAAAGGCCTGGTGAGCACCAAGTCCCTCATCTATGTTGTTACAATCAACCTGATCATTTCACCTTACTTCTTTGTATTGATCAAATGCTGGAGTCCTTCTGTATCTCTAATGTGTACACTCTTCTTGGTATAATTATTAATAGTGCTCCCTTTATTCTTAAGTGTTCCTTTTAGACAATAATTTTGTGATCATTTTTATACCCTTGAAAGGGAGTTTTCCAAATAGAGCTGTGCTATTACTGTAAGGGGGCAGGCCTGTGTATATCTGCTTTATATATCTGCATACATCTTTTCCTTTTCCTACGATTCTTTTCGCCTCTTATTCACTGGATCCATTTATTTTAAATGTCCTCCAATATTGAAGCTTCTCAAGGTTCTGTTTTTGGCTTTCTTTTCTTCTCTATGTATTCCCTAGGTCAAGAATGGCAAATGGGTTTCCTCCAAGGTGCTTAGAGCCACGCCTAGGTGTAGCAGGAAGAGAATCGTCTGTTAGCTAAGTCTACCATGGAAGCAGGAATGTTCCAGGCTTACTCCCTATCTCTCTCTCTTTTTTTTTTTTAGCGTATTATGGGGGTACAAGTGTTACCATCTCTTTTATACCAGAGAGCCACTGTTGATTTGTGTATTTTCTTACAAACCTTATTTTTTGCAATTACATACACATAATTAATATATAGATATTCATGTATATATTACATGAATATCATCATATGTTCAGCAATTTGCTTGTTTTTCATTTAATAATATTCTGAAACTCTTTCCCTGTCATTGCATGTATTGCTATATCTACTGTATTCTTTTTAAAACAGCTGTGTAGGGAGTCATACTGTGAATATATCATAATTTATTTAAGCCTTTACTCTTGATGGATATTTAGATTGTTTCCAGTTTTTCATTATTCTAAGTGTCTTTGTAAACATACCTTGATGCATATGAATGAATTTATAGGAGAGATTGTTAGAAGTAGAATTTTAGAATCTAAAGATAAAAGCATTGACATTTTGATAAGTGTTGTCCACTTGCCCCCTCCTAAGAGGCCGAACTAATTTTTACTTTCAGGTTATCAGGGCATATAAGTGCCATTTCCCTAACACTTTCACCTCCACTGTGTTGTTATCTGCATTTTAACTTTAAGTTTGAGGATCCCTGCCTTAGAGGATTTTTGGGTGCTCTTTTTATGGTATAGATATTTATTCCTCCACAAATAAGTTTTCCTTTCCCTCTGTTGATTGTATATTTTATTAGAGAAGTTTTAATGTTTTTGTACTTAAATGTGTCAACCTTTTCCTGTAAACTTTAGCATGCTTAGGACAGTCTTCCTCACCCCACGATTATAAAAATATTCAATGTATTCTTCTAATACTTGCATGGTTATATTTTTTATGTTTAGATACTAGGTCTGAGTTTGTTTTTGGAGATGCTATGCAGTAGTGGTCTTTATTATATATTTTTTCCAGATGGATAGTCAATTGTCTCAACTAAACAGTTTCTAAATTCCTAAAGTTCTCTCTAGCTAAGAGCCTTGGAAGTAGCTTAAAGCAGACCTGAATAGTCATTTAAACAAATTAAAACTCTTTCTTTTATTCTTTTTCTCTTGCACCTGTTCAGTGTATGTTTAATTTAATCTAAGCCAGAACAAAACTATAAATACATATGTTGATTACCTCCTTTTCCTCGGTCTTTTCTTACCTGTTTTGTGTTTTTCAAAGCGTGTTCCTTGGAGCCCTAAAGCTTCTTTGGAGGAAGCACTATCCGCTTTACATGCTTCAGGTGCAGCAGCTCCACTGATATCTTTCATCCATTGAGCTGGTAAACAAAGGTCTTTGTTACTGAAAATGGTTAAAAACATTTAATCCTTTCTTACCTCAGGTCCTTCAGAAAAGTGTGATCATTGGAGTGATTGAAGGTGGAGACGTGATGGAGGAGAGGCTGAGGTCAGCACGAGAGACAGCCAAGCGGCCTGTAGGTGGCTTCCTTCTGGATGGCTTTCAGGGGAATCCAACAACGCTGGATACTAGACTGCACTTGCTGTCATCAGTCACTGCAGAGCTGCCGGAGGACAAACCAAGGCTAGTGTTCCGCTGGGATGCAGGCTGACCTTCTGGAGTAGAGGGCGGGAGTGCTGGCTGATTGTGTGTTATTATATAGAGAGTCTGTACAGAGGTGTGTCTTTGGATGTGTTGATTATGTCCTTTCTGGGCTGAATCTGCTGAGGCTGACTGTGAGAGGAGTTTCCATCAAGGCTGTCCTGCCCTTGATTTCAGAATGTAGATCAGATGATAATTGCCATCTGAGTTATTTTATTTGATCTTCATAAGAAAGAGAAAATATTGTACTATTTCTCCTCATTCTTGTGCTGGTACAAATACTGTTCTTTGTTCATTATAATGTAGAACCTAGAGACATAAACCTAGATTATGAACTAGGTTTATAGGTTTAGAGTCATGTAGAACTCTGGTTTAAATTGAGGAAAGTTGAGGACAGACTGAGGACAGATTTGGGATGCCTAGTGGAATGAAGATGGCCTCTATCAATAAGAAGTTCTTAGATTGGAGGCAGGTAGTGAGTGGTGTCATTTTTTGAAATGTGGGGACCGGCAACACTAGTCAGGCTAGTTCTCATGTTTCCATAAGTCACAGGATTCACTGTGTACTGGTGAGAAGAGATCATCTGCAAGATACAAAGCTACAAATTCCAAGTTTCTGAATGCAGCTGTCATATTAGGCCACCCAAAGTTTTCTTTATCACCTTCTATCCCACTTAGTGTGAGTTTTTCATGCTGTTTATTTTCCTGAACATATATTAGGAAGTTTGATTATCTCTAGGGCTGTTGGATATGTAAAATATGTAATTTTACCACTTTTTAAAAAAATCCAGGTATAACTTAAGTAAAAGTGTATGAATCTTATGTACAGCTCAATTTTTACACATCTATACATGTGCATCAACATCACCCAGAACAAGAATTTTCCATCACCCCCGCCAGCCTTTGCCCCCTAATTTTAACCTAGTTCTCTTAGGTGCATTGCTGTCCCTGCTGTACTTGTTTCATTCTAGTACAAATAACAATTCAGCACTAGTATTTCTAGTCATTTTCTGGACTTCTTTGCGTTAAGTGCTCACAGATGTCTGTTAACTGAATTCGAAAGCTGGGATTGTTTTTCTTTTTATAAATGTGTAGAAATGCCAGCTTCAGTTGGAGAGGAGTTCTAAAACATTACATTACTTGAAGGAAACTGTAGTCAGGAAAACTGGCATATATTTAAGAGTTCTGCTTGTTTAATATTACATAAGCCTTTTTTTGAACTTCTTTTAGAAATCAGGGAGTCTGTAAGCTTTTCTTTGCCAGTTCATGAACAGGGGCTGTGGGTAGAAAAACAAACATATAACTGTATCAGCCAGCCAGCCCACTCTGATATAGTGGATCTCTACATCTTTTATTAGTGGCCAAACCTGGGTGAGTGTCATTAACACTCTCAGAATGCCTTACCCATTACAGGTTGAGTATTCCTTTTCTGAAACACTTGGGGCCAGAAGTGTTTCAGATTTAGGATATTTTTGGGTTTTGGAATATTTGCATTATACTTGCTGGCTGAGTATCCTTGATCCAAAATCAGAAATGCTCCAATGAGCATTTCCTTTGAGTGTTGTGTTGGCCCTCAAAAAGTTTGGTATGTTGGAGCATTTCAGATTTTGAGATTAGGGATGTTCCACCTGTACCTTGAAAAACACCATCTCATTCTACAGTGCAGACATTTTATTAATGGAGAAAATATAAAGAAAGTCAACTAGATTCTTAGAGCTTATGGCCAGAGTTGAAATTCTAATAGCAAGAGTTGCTTTGTAAATGAACCTATGAGGAATGTAATAGAAAAAAATGTCTTTATTGAACCAATTCTGAAACATAATTATAGGCAAAATACAGTTATAATGAGCCGAGTATTTGAAAGGGAAAATAAAGCACACAACTTTGTACTCTTAAAAAATGTACACAATGTATATAGATAGGCTATAAAGTTCAGTCTAACACCAGGAGGTTGTTCAGAAGGCTTAAGAGTGGAAAGGAAGGAAACTAACATTTATTGAGCTTTTCTCTGTGGTCAGTGACTATATATACTTTCATATTTTTTATATATATATATATATATATATAATTGATCTTGTTTTTCAAATGAGAAAACTAAAACACAGAGAGGTTAAGAAATTTTCCTAAAGTGACAGCAAGTACATAAATGGCAGAGCTAGGATTCAAGCCCAGGTCTCTGCCTCCAAAGCCCTGTGTTCTTTCTACCATACCTTGCTGTCCACTCTCTGCCACTCTAACCATGATTGGTGTTTCTCCTTACTATTGTTTTTAGTGCCCTGTTCATTGGGAAGACTGATTTCATTCCTGGCATTGTCCTCATGTTACTGTTCTTACTGTTATTTTTACAGGCTCGTCTCTGGTGTTAGCCGACCAGATGAGGTGCTCAAGTGTATTGAAAGAGGAGTGGATTTATTTGAGAGTTTTTTCCCTTATCAAGTGACAGAGCGGGGCTGTGCCCTGACTTTCAGCTTTGATTACCAGCCAAATCCTGAAGAGACATGTAGGTCTTTTGAACTTAATCTCTGTCTTATTCTTAAGTTTCTTCTATTTCCTATTAATTTTTGACTGGAGTCACAAGACAGAAATATGTACATATAAGCCAGTCTTTTATAAAACTACATCTTTATCTCTTATCTGTGTGCTGTGGCATGTTGGCACACAAAACCAGGTACTTAATACTATACATGTAGCTCATCAATATTAGGGTGTGATATTTGTAGTGAGCAGAACCAAGAAAAACAAAACCTCTTTTGTTAACAACATGAAAAAAGAACATTCAGAGTGAATTGTGATGAAAATCACAAGAAAATAAAACCTTTGAACTACTTGGTAAAAAGTTAATTTATTTTTTCACAAAAGAGTTCTTGTCTGCTTTTTACAAACCCCATGCTATTAAAATACAGGGAGACTCACCATCCTCTGATCCTAGTGTTTCTTTTTGCTTTTTTGGTTTTTTTAATACACTTGAGATGTGAAAGCTGTTTTTTTCTGCTAATGTTGCTTTGCAGCACTACCTTTTTTTTTTCATGTTCAGCTCTTCAGAAGTTAAGAGAATCAGTTTCAGATTATAACACTAAACTGGAAATGGCAAAAGAACTGGGATGCAGACTTTGGGGTGAGATTCCTTGAAGCAGTTCTGTAGGACAGTGTTACATGTCCAGTTTTCCCTCTGGCTTTTACAGATGGGCTCTCTTTACCTTTTCCCTACTGTCCTTTGATCTCTTCCTCCATCTTACCAACCTTAAATTTGAATAGTGCCAGAAACTTCATTAAAGAGTCTTTATTCCCCACAAATAATTAAAACTTAATTCAAAAGAAGTTGTACTTTCACAATGCAACTTAAGCACTAATCTAAATTGGATTACTTGTAGAAGCAAAATAAATCAGGTTGGCCAGGAAGTGGTGGCTCACGCCTATAATCCTAGCACTCTGGGAGGCCGAGGCAGGAGGATCGCTCAAGGTCAGGAGTTTAAGACCAGCCTGAGCAAGAGTGAGACCCTGTCTCTGCTAAAAATAGAAAGAAATTAGCTGCACAACTAAAAAGATATAGAAAAAATTAGCCAGGCATGGTGGCACATGCCTGTAATCCCAGCTACTCAGGAAGCTGAGTCAGAAGGATTGCTTGAGCCCAGGAGTTTGAGGTTGCTGTGAGCTAGGCTGATGCCACGGCACTCTAGCCCAGGCAACAGAGCAAGAGTCTGTCTCAAATAAAATAAATAAAAATAAATCAGATTGATCAAATTCTTATTTATAGGAGGTCAATTTTATTGTCCTTTTAGACATTTCAGAACTTAATATATGTGAATAGATGTACCATTAATACTTTATAAATTTTCATGACTTCATTTACAAACTAAATTATTTCTACCAGGACAGAGGTAACTGTTTCTTTAAGTACCATGAATATCCAAAGCTCTAAAAACCTGATTCTGAGTTCTCTGTAACGAACAAATTCCTTTTTGGTTATAGAAAGCCAAGTTTCTTCATTGATTAGGAAAACTGAAATAGTTTGAACATTTTTATTAAACTGTTAATCATATTTGTGTGTGTATGTGTATATAGTAAAGTCCTCTGCCAACTACACAATGAAATTTCCAAAGAAATAAGTTGTCACCAATTCCCTTAAATGACAAGAATTTTCTAAAATATCAAGGCTTTATTATGGTTTCCCACTTCAGCATGCAAATTCATGGGAACAAAATTATAACAGTTCTGTGCCCAATGCTCAGGTCACTTCTCTTCTTCCTTTCACCTCTACAAAATTACCTTCCCAATACCATCTGTCCTTCTCCTACGGCTATCACTAAGTTTCTTGTCATTTGTTCTCAAAATACTTCTTATCTACTTGCCCCTGTTCAAGGCAGCTGGCTTTTTGTAGAGTAGCTAGTTTTTCTTCTGCAGTGCCAGGAATGTTCCTTCTAAAGAGTTCAAGGGAACAACTCAGGTTCCCATTTAATTCTAGACAATCTGAGTTTCTTGGAGGGCCAGGATCTCCATACAGAATACATCAATTAAAACCACGTTCTACTTTAATCTATTTGGAATATAGGCAGTTACAAAGCCCAGTTAACTTGCATGTACATTGTAAAAAGGAATAGGAATAATTCCAGCATGCATGTACACATACACCTCCACAACTGTTTTTTAATCATTCCTTAATGGTAAGATTTTAGGTTATTAATATATACTAGTAACCATAATTTGCTTAGATATTATCGAATCTCTAAATTGTTTTGGTGTTGTAGATAAAGGGTCAGTGACCATCTTGGAGCATATTGCTCTTTTTTCTTTTTTCTTTTTTTTTGTTTGAGACAGAGTCTTGCTCTGTCACCTGTGCTAGGCATCAACCTAGCTTACGGCAACCTCAAATTCCTGGGCTCAAGCAATCCTGCTGCCTCCGCCTCTGAGTAGCTGGTACTATAGGCATGCGCCATCATGCCTTAATATTTTTTATTTTTAGTAAAGACTTGGTCTCACTCTTGCTCAGGCTGGTCTCGAACTCCTTACCTCAAGGGATTCTCTAGCCTCAGCCTCCCAAAGTGCTACGCTGTTCTTTTCTTATGCAATTTCCTTAGTATAAATTCTTAGGAATGGAATTATAGGGTCAAAGGACATGAAATAATAACTGAAATAAAATTCTCCCAGTGGCTGCTTATCTTCACTCAAGCCTTTTTATTGGTTTGTCTTTCAGTATTACAGCAGAATGGGACACAAGAAGAAATAAAATGTGTGGATCAAATAAAGAAAATTAAAACAACTGATTGCAATCAAGAAATGACATCATTTGAAATTAATCTCAAGGAAAAAAAGTAAGAAATTTTTTAAAGTTTGGATTTTGGTTTCAAACTTTTTAATTTTAGTCTGTTTTAAAAGTTTAACTATTCCCTTTTCAATTTATGACTTCATAAAATATTTATAGTTGGATATCATTTAGGCCTTCTCAAATATGGTTCCAGAAAAACTTTTTTATTCTGCAGATGAATTTGTTTATCTTGTCAGAAAATCAAGGCTAGATGACTATTGCTTTAGAAAAGCTGTCAGAAATATTAGACCAAATTCATTTGTTTGCTGTCTTTTATTCCTTCCAATACTTTAAATAATGACAGCACAATGAAGATTTCAAGATAAAACACAACAAAGTAGGATATAGGTTATAAGTCTTAAATAAAATATTTGCCTCTATAAAGAATGAACTAAGATATAAACTGAGTATCCCTTATCTGCCATACTTAGGACCAGAAGTTTCAGATTTCAGGTTTTTTTGGATTTCGGAATATTTGCATCATACTTCTTGGCTTAGCATCCCTGATCTGAAGTTCTCCAGTGAGCATTTCCTTTTAGCATCACGTTGGTACTCAAAAAGTTTTGGGATTTTGAGCATTTCAGATTTCAGATTTTTGGATTAGTGATATTCAACCTGAATCTTGCAACTTTGTATTTGGCCAAAAGTGGTAATCATCAGTGAACCAGTGAATAGTTTTGAGTCTGGCACACTTGTTTTAGTGCTGGGGTGTTTTTGGCTTATGGGAAGGAACATTCTAGGGATTCTGACTTATTTATGTCTACCTAGTAATAGTATAGACTTGAGAATTTATGAAAGAATGTGAAAATTATAGTTCTTCCCTATATTCTATTGGGCTTCTTGACTGTAGATCTGAAATGGTGATGTCTATTACGTTTAACTTCTTGAAAAATAGCCAAAGATATTTATTTCTATTTTTAAAATGTTAGGGAATATAGATGGTTACTACTAAAATTATTTTTATATTATAGATTTAATTAGAAATTGTAGTATTCTTATTATGAGCACTAGACTTGAAGTTTTAGAGATTTGGAAACTATACGGGTGACAGGAAACTTGCCCTTTTCCCTAAAAGTTGGCTGAAAGATCAACTTCACAATTAAGGCAGATTAATAAGAGAAATGTTTATTTACTAATCCCATGTGCATGGGAGAATCACATAATGATTACCCAATATCTCAATGAAGTTCATATATGTTTATACATACCTTTTAGAGGGGAGGAGGGAAAATGAGGAGTATAGACAATTCTGTTTAGGGGCCATAAACAGTAGCTAGGGAGGATAAATAGATAGGGGGACTCAGATTGACTTGTATTAATAAATTAACCTGAGAGACAAGTATTATGTTTCAAATGATTTGGGCCAGGTCTGGTTGTATTCTTGATCTTTTCTGTAATATATTGAGATAACAGGGAAAGGAAGGGAAGTCCACTTTGATCTTTTGCTCAGTTCAGTCTGCCTAATGCAGATAGAGGGAAAGCCCTTTCCAAGTGCCTGTTAATCCATAAGAGCCTTTAATTCAAAATATCCTTTATACTAAGGAGTCATATTTTGGGGTGAAATTTCCATAGCTTCTTCAAGACAAATCCTAGCTCTGTTTTTGACTATGTGACCTTGGTCAAGTCACTTAATTTCTCTTTAATAGCTAATAAAAAAAAATAACACCTATTAGCACTTAGTATGCACCCAGCAGTGATCAAGCCCTTTTACTGTATTAACTCATTTAATCCTTGCAACGACTCTCTAAGGTGGGCACTGTTATTATCTTTGGTTCATGGATGAGAAATAAAGACACCAGGAGAGGTTAAGTGACTTGCTCAAGTGAGTTGTAGAGCCAGGAATCAAACCCATGCAGGCTAGCTCCTGAGTCTTCCCTCTCAACTCCCATAGCTTCCATCTGTAAAATGACAAAAGTGAGTTGTCTCTAAGAGTGGATGCAGAGATTAAATGAGACAGTGTGTGTGAAAGTGCTTTGTAAACTGCAAAAAAGCTATGCAAGTAGAAGGTCATACCATGTCTTCTGTTATTAGTTCTGGCAGCAAGTGGGAGAGAAGTGTCACTTACTAGAACAGTATTTCCTAACATTATGTGTTTTTACCATGTGACTAGTAATGCTCAACATGAGTAAGTGACCATGTGAATTTCTTCTGATGCTCCTTTGAAACCTCCAGAGTAGGAGGTTGTATCAGTCAGAGGAAAATTCCTAAGTCTCCCTGGCTTGTGTTCTTTCTTAACTTTTAACTATATTGCCATCCTAAGTAGATGTACAGCACTTAACAGTTGCCGGTGATGTTATTAACCATTGGTAACCTCACCAGCAGAACAGATAGCCTAGGTTGTGGATTTCTTGTACTCCTCACTTTCTGGACTGTTATTGTGACTTCCTTTCTTAGGTACCAAGAGGACTTTAACCCATTGGTGAGAGGATGTTCCTGCTACTGTTGTAAGAATCACACTCGTGCATATATCCACCATCTGCTGGTGACCAATGAGCTGCTGGCTGGAGTCCTGCTTATGATGCACAACTTTGAACACTATTTTGGATTTTTCCACTCTATCCGGGAAGCACTAAAAAGTGACAGACTGGCACAGTTGAAAGAGCTTATCCACAGGCAAATACCTTGAGACCTTGCAAATACAAGCTTGATTCTTCACATTGAGCTTGTACCACTGTTAGAACATGGGATGAAATGAAAAAGAAATGATCTTAGCTTTAATCATTTATGTTTGGGAATAAGGTCTGCTGAAATAAAGAATGTATGTATCAAACTGGCCACATAAGGGTGAAAAGATTTCTTCTGAAGACTTAAATGACCTGAATTGATCAGAGAGAATTGAACTATGACCTTTAAAATTTCTAGGCTTTCTTAATCGATAGAGATTCATTTATTCAAAGGCATAAGCTTTAGATGGGAATGGACAGCCTTGAAATAGGGGGGATGAGATCTGAGGTACCACTGAGTTGGATGGAGGCTTCATGGGAGATGACTGTGAGAAGCATTGGCCTCTGTGGACATGTGCCTGTTGATTGGAGAAGGAATCTGGCTGATTTTCTTTCTCATACTTAGAAGGCTCTTTGGAACACTTTTGCCTTCCATGCTTCTGTGGCCATTTCAATCAGAAATGGGTCTGGTGACATAACTGGACTCACATCTTCCTGGAATTTTGGGCTCAAACATTGCTCCTGTGATTGGTTGGCCCAGGTCACACTCTTTCATTTGGCCACATGGTGTATTTGTGACTTGTCTTTCTAGAGCCAAGGCAATTGCCTGTTAGGGCCAAAAGTTTGCCTGGCTTTCAATCTGGTAGTACAGATCCACTGTGGTCTGCCTTCCAGGCTCATTAATAGTCTAACCACATAACTATAGTCCCATCACTTGTGAAGATTCATTTCCAGTGTGTTCACTTAGATGGAGCCCTGGCCTGGCAATTAGAGCTTTGGTTTCAGTCTTGCTCAGCTGTGACACCTGGGCAAATCACTTAAGCTCTCCCTGCCTGTTTCCTCCTAAATAAATGGGAACAGGCATAGTGGATAGGACTAAATGAACATCCAGCATTCTTTTAGCTCTAAAATTTGAGGAACAAAAAGTTTCAGATAAAGTTAAAGCCTTACTTGTTGTCCTTGTTTATTAATTACTATTGGCCTGATAAAAAATGTAGTAGTGCCTGAGATAGGCAACAGTGGAGATATTTGAGAGCCTAAAAAGAGGTTTGGCCTATGGATTTTAAAGTGGTTGGTGAACTGGCATCAGCAGGTCCTGAGGCTGGGGTTGGGGGTTCTTCCTAAGTCATTTCTGTATTTGTCAAGTTTTCAATAAGGAATACATATACATGTACATGTACACATATAGTTTTTATAAAAACCACAATAACAAAACCAAAATGATGTACCTGTTTTTGTAGCGGCAAGAAATACATGTGTTTTATGCTCTATTTTCCTGTTTGTTCAAAATTTAGTGGGCATTACTAAATATTGTTTCTGATTATTATGCAGCTACTGTTTGTTTTATGTGTTGGGAGCCCCTTTATATGGTTTTCTTTCTGGTAGTACAGGAATATCCATAAATTTCAAAAATTCATGAACATTCCTATAACTTCTCCTCCATGAATGGCAAGGGGTACTTATGGAGGACAGTTTCCTTTCTCAAGGATCTGGTTGTTTTGAAATGTATTGGACATATTCATATGTTCCTGTTTCTGCTTAGTGCCAAACCCATTGTTGGAGGAGTATTGGTAAATATCCCAGAATCCATATAAAATTTATGAGTTTTATTTATGTCCAAAACACTGAAAATTGTTTCTAGTATTGTTTAGTTTGCTGGGTCTTTTTCTTATTGTCACATTTGAAAAAATGTTCGTTTTCTTTAATGTAGTAAATCTATTAAAGGCAATAGCCAATAAAACATTTTTAATTTAAAAAAATGTAGTGTTTTGCTTTCTTTAAGTCATAGGGAGTCTATTAAACAAAATATTAAATTTCTGTGGTACCAGAAATGTTTCAGAGATTTCTTATTGGAAAAATATTTTTTTTTTCTGTATTTCATCTATATTCATTGTTTTAAGAACATTTGCACTAAGTGCAGAATCCTAAAAGGAGACATTCAAAGACAAACATTATGAAAATTTCCTTACCTGTTTCTTTATAATTAGGGACTTTAAGGACATGCTAGCACATAATACAAATAATAACCACAATTTCACAATTTATGGAGCATTTTTAATGTACCGGGCACCTTAGTAAGTGATTTCCATACTTATTGACCCTTAAAGCATGGCTGTGAGGTGTTGGTATTATTATTCCTATGTGGAGAACTGAGTTTCAGGAAGGTTGAATCACCTGCCTGAGGGCCTACCAGAAATCTCAGGAAGGTTGAGTAGTTTGCCTAAGGGCCTATTGCTACTCAGCTCCCAGTTAGTCTCTAGCTCCATCTGACTAAAACTCAACAGTTAACTCTTGCAGGAAATAGATTCTTACTTATTTTGACTTGCTCCTGGGTTAAAGGGACTAAGAGAATCAAGGACCCAATAGGGGGGCTCCTGGCCTTGGGGAATTGGGTGTTTTAGGAGCTGCGCTGCAACTCGGCCCTGGCTCCAACTCTTGTGGGCAATAGCTGGCCCTGGCACCTGTAGCCCATGGTACAGAGCTGGCACCTATAGGGTTATCTATAACATTCCATGTCCCCAAATCTCCTCCTCCCTCCCAGTGTGATACTGACCACACCTTGAACAGTGTTGAAAGGGTTTGGGGGCTGTGATTATTTCAAGTGAACTCGGGTGATCAATAGGAGTCTGAGATTTCCTATATATTAATATTTTGGGGAGGAATATTTTGTTATTCCCTGGAATAAGATAAAGGGAAAATATTCTAAAACATTTTTAAACCAAATATTTGTGTAATTAAAGCATTTTAATAAAAAGTTCAAACAAAGACCATCAAAAGGTCAAGGCTAGAGTGGGAAGCAACTATCTTATCCAGGATGTTTTTTCTGTAGAGGAAGCATGGAGCTCACTGAGAAACCACAGAGTTAAATGATTATACTGTGCCTTCCTGATTAGGAACAGGCTGCTCTCTGCAGTTTGATTAGTCTTGCTTGTAACTACGGGATTACAGCTTATTAAAACTGACAGTGCTGCATAGGGCAGGGAGCCTGGAAGGTCAAACTTACATGCTGAGCCAGCCTCTGCCTTTACCTAAAGGTTTGGTATAATTGGCATTCATTTTAATATTCTTTTTAATTTCTTCGCTTTCTTTCCAACCTTCATGTCTCTTCCTCATTTTATACTTTTTCTCTCACTTCTTTCTCATGAGACTCCCTGATTTGTGAGCACAAAATGTAAATAACAGTGTGCAAAGAAAAATGAAGCAAGCCTAGTATAAGCAATGTGAATTAGCATAATCATACATTCTCATAGTTTATAAAAATCCCAGTTTATGCCTGTGGTTCAGGTGTAATTACTAACAGCCCCACCCCTTTTGTTCTCAAAAGTGTCGTGGTTTGGACAAGTTACATGATTGCCCTAATGTGAGTGGTAGAGACAAACTAGAGAACAGGTGCCCCATCTAAATAAGACAGCTGCTACCCACCTCTAGCTAATTGCTGCTGTGGTCCAGTGCTGCCAGATATTTCAATCTTTCAAGAGAAGCCAGAAATCTGGGTTTTCAGATGAAATTTCACAGTCTTTAGATGATCAATTTTTAAAAAATATTCTGCTAGCCAATCAAAACTTAGGGATGCCTCGTTTGCAACTTTTGGCTTAGAATCTGGAAGGAAGCATTTGGCATCTTTAGCATTAAAAATTTCCGAACAACTGATCAAAATGTATAAAAAATGTACCTGTAGTTTCTAGTTCCTGCAGCTGTTTACAGATTCCCACATTAAGAGAATCCATGTTATCCATCTCCATTGCATGATTCCCAGATAACTCCCAGAATCGTTCTAAATCTGCCAAAAGGGAAGGTATGCATTTCTTGTTCAACCATCTATTTTATGGGTAAGAAATTTTAGGCCTAGAGAGGAAAAACTAGCAGTCAGTTGCATCTTTCTTCTTAAGAAATGTCTTAGTTCACGCTGCTATAACATAATACCATAGACTGGGTGGCTTATAAACAAAAGAAATTTAGGCCAGGTGCTGTGGTTCACGCCCATAATTCCAGCACTGTGGGAGGCAAAGGTGGGAGGATTGCTTGAGGCCAGGAGTTAGAGACCAGCTTGAGCAAGAGTGAGATCCCCTCTGTATGAAAAAAGAAAAGTTAGCTGGGCGTGGCGGCATATAACTGTAGTTCATTACTTGGGAAGCTGAGGCAATGTAACAGAGGGAAGGACCTAGGAAAAAAATAAAGATTTTCTGTCTCTTTAAAACTTCCCCCACCCTTTTTGGTAACTGCAACTTGGCCTGCATCCCTGAGGCACTGTTAAGTTCTTTGTTAAAAGAGATATCTCCCAGGTAGCCCCCTCTGCTGGCTGCTGAGGTCACAGGCATTGTCGTTGGCCAAGAGGGGAGGATTAGAATACTTAACCACAATAGCCTAGAACTGAGTAGCCCTCCCTGTAAAAGCTCTGTAGTTCTGCCTGTGTTCAGGAAATTTGGATTTTGAGAGAAGGTCTGCCATTTTTCCTCCTTTGCCAGCAAAATAATAAATAATCTCTTTCCTTCTTTTCAACTACTTGTCCTCGTTCTTCTGATCCAGCCTCGTGGACAAGTGCTGCGCTTCCGTTAACAGCAGGAGGGTTGCTTGAGCCCAGGAGTTTGAGGTTGTAGTGAGCTATGAGGACACTCCTGCACCTTAGCCTGGATGATGGAGTGAGAACCTGTCTCAAAAAGAAAAAAAAAAAAAAGATTTCTTACAATTCTGGAGGCTGGAAGTCTGAGATCAGGGTGCCAGCACAACTGGCCCTCTTCCCAGTTGCAGACTGCTTTCTTCTTTTTATATCTTCACATGGTGGAAAGGGGGCTAGAGAGCTCTCTGGGGTCTCTTTTACAAGGGCACTAATCCCATTCATGAGGACTCAACCCTCATGGCCTAAATTACCTCCCAAAGGCCCCCGCCTCTGAATACCATCCCATTGGGGGTTAGGATCTCAACATATGCATTTTGGAGGAACATAACATTTGGTCCATCACAAGAAGTTTAAATGTGAACACATTTCTTTCTAGTCACCACTTTGGATGGCCTACATCTCATCCCAGTTTTCTGCGGGGCCTGTACCCTTCTAGGGTCAGCATCAGTTTCCCAGTACTCACTTTCCAGTGATGCTTTCTGGCCTCACAAAAC